GCTACAAGCACACGGATTGCTGACGTGGCACTGTCAACTAACACATCCACTCTGTACCTACCAAGTGCGCGGATCGCTGACGTGGCAGCTATGACTAGTGCACACTAAAGTATCTACATCAATATTCAGAGTAACCTCTACTTTAGTTCTAACTAACTAAAGATGGTTACACGTGTGCTGTCGCATCACCCTGTGCAGGATGCTCGCCCAGTGAATTGGAGTTCCCTCGATGACGCACTCCACAAAAGAGACCTGCCACAATGTGATGTAGCAGGCGCGGTGCGGCTGCAGTAATTGCATCAGCGCCGCGGACAAAGTCCGGCGAAATCGATCCTTGTAATCACGGGTCCTGTACCCATTCTTGGTAGACCTCCCGGTCTTGAACAGCTCCACAAATTGCGCCTCTTCTTGTTTGGTCACCTTGATGCTCTCACTGTCGAAAAGGAGATGCCCTGGCATGCCAGCACATCTTCCCAACGCCTGCGCCCAATCTTGGACTGTCCACCGGTCAACATGCGGACGCAATCCGCGCGAGGGTGGTCCCTGTGGCTCTAGCCACTCGCGCACCATATTCGCACAGATGTAATTCCATCCCCATAGCAAGAAATCGAGCTTTCTTGCTATTAAGCGCTCCTCGAAAGCGCGCAGCCCGTTCTGCGGCAGGCGAAGTGGCACCATCCGCAATCTGCTCGGTCTCGTCATTGCGTTCCTGGGGTTCGCTCGCCCGCTCATTCTACTTCCGCACTGTCCGCGTTTCTTTCTCTCTCGGCAAACTCTAATCGCTCTCAATTCCAAATCACGCGCACTCACTTCTCCCTCAATCAACAAGAAATCTCCTGTGTGACGACGTCGAGAATGGTCCGCAGCCAGCAGATGGATGCGCGCAGCGCGCACCAGAGATTGGAATCGCGAATTCAAGAATGGGACGTTCTCCGCCGCCCGGTCGAAGGTCATGGTCGGCTCTTGGTCGTGAAGAACGTCTCACTTGATGGCCGCGCCGGCTGTACGCTGGAACGGTCTTCGCTCTCACGCGCGGCTTCACGCTCCGCCGTCGTCGATTAAACTCTCACGCTCGAATTGGCGGATTTGAACTCCGCGAGCGTGTCGCCCTGCGGACATGGGTTTGTAGCGCCGAAGGCGAGTTTTCCGCCTTGCGCGGTACACTTGTTCGTACCGCCCCTCGGCCAATCTCCCGCTGCCTTGACGCGTGTGTCCGCATGTCGGACAAAAATTCAACTCCTGCCTGTGCGCAGGCAGGGGCCTCGGCGGATTCTCCGCCGGCGCGGAACTTGAACATCCTCCTGTGCACAGGCGTTCGCCTGTGCGCAGGCGAATTCCGTCCGCGGCGCTGCGCTGGCGCGGAAGGCGTTGACCGTGGTCAGCCGTCTCCGTCCAGTCTGTCCGTTCCTTGTCTCTCCGTCGGCGCTTCCGCCGCCGCAACTCCGTCCGTCCAAGAGCGCATCCACCCGTGCCGTCCGCACGGTCCGTACCTATTGGATTACTCTGGCGGCTCTTCCGACGTACGCGACGCTGCGCTGGCGCGGAAGGCGCCGTACACTTTCTACCTCACAAGGCGCATTTCTAGGGCCCAAGGCGGATTTTCCGCCGACGCCGAAGTGCCTGTGCACATGCGCTCGCCTGTGCGTAGGCGGACTTCGCGCCTTCCCTAACCCTACTTCGCCTGTGCACAAGCGAACGCCTTCGTCCGTGCATAGGACAAAACTTGAATCCCCCTTCCGCGTAGGCGGAATTCGCGCCGGTGGCGAACTCCTTCCGCCGTAGGCGACCGCCTCCGTTTCTTCCAGTAGCGATAACTCCCTAAGTCCTCGTCCGTTCCAAGCGTTCTTGGGCTCGTTGGAATCAGCGCGTCGAGCTCTTTCCAACGGGCTCCTAACTTGGTCAAGGCGCCCGAGGGTTTACCTAATTACGGGGGTTTCCCTACAGCCGCGGACGCAACCTCCGAAGGCGGGTTTTGCGCCTTGCGCCGTAGAGATCCTAACTGCGGAGCTCGCAGGGAGGGTGGTGCCTGTCCTTACTGCGGCACCCCAAATCCCAGATTCTACAAGATCCCTCGAGAATCCCCGCGATCTTCCGGATTCACTCTGTTTTGATGTACCGAAGGCTATTTACAATGCTGCCAGGGTACAGTTTTTCAAAAATGTTTTAATTTCCTCAAAATTGCCAAAAGTGGGGTACCACAGTATCATTGCATACATCATTGTTCCCGTATTATCATTATGCATGATCATAATGATCATTCTACAAGCAAGATATATGATTTTATTGCAAAAGTCAATTAAATTAAAAAAATTTGTCATCAATTTGTGCACTGTGTGGAACATTAAGAAAAAAGAAACTAATAACAACTACATTGCGGTGCCGGAGAATGAGGATTATCAATGTGGATAATGGTGGATTACAATAAGTAGTATAATTGAACACATTCATAATCAAATCTCATGAAACCGAAATTTGTTTAAAATTGTCCTTTTATCTAAAAATACAAAATTTTTGAAGTAAATTATTGATTATGACCTTAATTGGTAAAAAATATAAACAATATTCAAGCAAAAAGAATCATAAAAGTATATGGTTTTTCAAGTGATGTTTTATGAATTAGTTAAGATGCTCATATAAACATTTTTACAGATTCATATCGCAATTGTGTTAAACAATTTGAAACAAGTACAAAGTTGATATGATTGAAAAATATCATTTGTGATATTTTTCTTCTGGATTACAAGTCTGAGCCAAGAGTAAAAACTTAAATATGTGAACATGATCATGCCACGACTTTCAACGATGCATATGACTATTTGGATAATCGGTTTGATTATCTTTGCAGATTCTATAAGGATCTCGCTGTTGCATTTGTCAACGTTTCTTTTTTGGAATATGTCTTTTTCATATCAATTTGGTACATGAAAGATCATCGTTGACTAACATGTCACTAGAGTTTACCTTTAAGACAAACCAAAATTTGCAATTGAGCTCAATTTATATTTGTTTGTAATCTTTCTTTCTATAAATTTCAAGAATTCCAAAATTAAGACGAGAAGCATTGGCACATCAAGCATTTGGCATAATTCTTGGAAGTCTTAGGCATTATGAAGTCTAGACTATTCTAAAATAGTCTTTGCAACATGCACTGAACTGATGAAAAACTGAAACGATTATTTATGTTAAATGCTCCAAAGGAATGGTGATCTAACTGCAACCCTGGGAGTCAATGTTCTTGCTCAAATATTAAAATCAATTGAACTACACAGTATCAATATGTACATATTACTCGTTGGATTCTTGAAGCCAAACACATTACTAGATGTTAGCTTTGTAACACTATGATTTCTTATATGACTCATTGTGTCAACTATGTTTTCTATGCTAAAACATTGTCAATCTTGAATGAAGTATATGGTTGGCAAATTTTCATAGAATTTTATGAAAACACAAGAACCAATTTTACTTTCAGTTTATATCATGTGACTATCTAAAGAAGTTAAAAAGAATATCCTGTCATAATTGTGCTATTCAAAATTCAAATATTATCTGATTTTCAATTTTAAAAAATCTTTAAAATATTTTTTATGAAATTTAACAAATCAAATATAAATCAAGATAATTTAATTTTCTAGTATATACAATATATTATTAGATTCTATAGAAATTTTAAAATTTCTATAGAATCTAATTTCTAATATATTTTCAATATAAATATTTTATAATATAAAATTAAATTTTAAAAATTTTAAAAATTTTTATTCTACTTGTTTGAAATTACTTCATAAATATAATCAAAGTGGTTGGAAATATCAAATTTTAGAATATATGAAAAAAATTTACAAATCGATTTTTTGTTAGAAATATCATAATAATTTTGTATTAAATTTGAAATCACTTTTTGTGAAAGAAAATATTCAAAATCAAATCAATTTTTTCATATATTTCATATTTAGAAAAAAAGCTTAATTCTAAATTTATGTATAATATTTGAGATACACATCCAAAAAAAATATTTTAATTTTTTCAAAAGAATTTTGGAATTTTTATTTATTTATTTCTACTCAATAATCAAAAAATCAATGCATCTACAATTTATCACTCAATATGTTGTTTTGCATGCATGCATTCAAGAGTTGACACACATAGCTATTTTGAACCAATTTTCACTGATATTTGAGAATGTGAATTGAGAATGCTTCAATTTTACCTAGACACACTAGTTTAAATTGAGATTTTGAGCAAAATTTGTGCCATTCATACGTATGATCATGGATATCATACAAGACTATAAAAAATTAGCTCAAGTCAAAAAACTAGAATAACACTATGGCGAATTAATATGACTTCCTCTATCTCTTCATCATGTGTTATTCATTTATCAGCAGCTTTAGTATCTCTAGTTTATCTAAATTAGTAGATTATTTTGGAATAAATTTCCTAAGAAAATTTGAAATATGACTCTATTTAAACTGAATCATATTTAAGATTCATGTATAAAGTTGAAAAAATCTTCCTTATAATCATTATATAATATTTATATATTAAATTTATTTCACTATAACTATCTAAAGTTTTGTACTTGATATGTGGTTGATAATTGTGATTTTATGAAATATCTTGAATTGTTCAACATGAAATTTGAAAATCAATTTGAATTGATTTTTTTCTATAGCAATAAGTTTTTTAATATAGGAGAATGATGAAATTTGATTTTACAAAGCTATCTATCCATGTAGTATTCAACTTAACAAGAATTTAAAAATTTACATTATGTAACTTACAGCATATATAATTGTTCAATGTTCTTGATAAATTTACTCCATGAAAATCTATGCGCCGTTTATGAAAAAAACAGATAACAAATACACCCGGTGGGAAAAAACTTACAAAATAGACTTAGTCGAAAAAATTAATAAAAAATTAGTGAAATTGGTAAACACAACCGGAGTCATATATTCATCCAAATACAAGATTTGAATCAAGATCATTGTTCCAAGAAATTTGATGAAAGTACAGATTCATCAATTTTGATATGATGATCACAAAACCAATATGCTTACCGACACAAAATGTTGACAGTGGCGCCGAAAGCAAATTTGTGTTTCTAGTCGATGACTGAAGGCAAGCTGATGTGAGTGTGCTAGCAAGGCTCTGTGCTGGCGTCTATGTTGACAAGACCATCGTCATTGGGGTATGCTTCTATTGCATCGCTCTTACGAATGTGAATTCCAAAGTACTCGAGGTCGGTCGAGGTCGGTCTCCTGTTTGATTTGCTTGGCTCACTTCAAAGACAACCTCACAACCCTGGTTTAGTACGGCGCAGAGCACATGGGTAGAGAGGCTCGAGAAGCCGTCAAACTGCCAAAAACAGCGAGGAATTGTAGTGGGAAGAATCGAGAATCAGTCTTCGTCGATTCTTGCAGTCTCATGGCTATCAACCTTAAATCAGTGTCACTGTACGGCTAGTCGAAATAGAAAACGTGGTTGGCAGAATTTTGTGCTATTGCGAGTTCGTACCCGGGTCCTAGAATTTAAGCCGTGAATTGTAGCCAGTGCTGTTCAGACTTGCTAGGTTTACTTTCTTCACGTTCAGTGTGACGTAGAAGACCTTCAGCAGATTTACGTGTCTGTCGCTTTTAACCACAGGGCCACTCTCCCTATGATATGTAAGCTTCAACTTTCCGCTGCCACGGGACTCTGGTGAAAAGTGCTGGGCAATTTTCATCACCCCTCGTCAATTATGGTGGGTAAAATTGGAATAATTTTTTTACGAGTACCTGCGGATAGGAGAACACTTGGATCACATGGTGAAGGGACAAAAACCTGAAGTCTGCTTGAGTTTCTGACACAATTCTCTTCTCGATTTTCCTTCTTCTCCAACTGCAGGTATACGGCTCTGCTCTGTTCCAAACTCAATACCGTGAAGGACTTAGATCTAAAACATGGATCGCGGAGAGCGAGCAGCGCATTTCCGATAGTCAGTTGCCTGCTTATTTAATGTATCACATGAAGGGTCCAGTGAATCCTAGCAATTCGCAACCTCAGCCTTCAAATGCAGCATCCAGTAATCCATGGCCAGTGCATAACAGCATCTTATAGGATTTCAGGAAGTTGGAATTTTTCTGACGGAAAATGATCATGGCGATCAGAGCAGCATTCCAAATGACCTCTAGCTAATCGAGGATCCAGGAATAGTCAGTACTGCAGAGGTTTAGACACTGGTTCTCAATTTCTTTTTTGAAGGCCAAAATTGATCTTTGTTCAGGCACCTTCTCTGCAATATGTATAACTGCCTCTGAAACTGCTTGCAACCTGAATGACTTGGACATTTCACGGAATACTGCGTGAAATGAACCACTAAAGAGTAATCTTTAGACTTAAACGTTTATACATGACAGCTCCGTCTCCAAGTACTTGTAGGTTCCAGTGAACTCTGTTTCTCGCATTCACCTCTGTTGACTGCTGTGATAGCATTCAGTCGCTGATGTGATCAAAGTTCCCAGTCAAGTTTTGAGAAGATGAAAATTTCTGACACTTGACATTTAAGTTGCAATCCTATGCATCAAATTCAGTTTCTCGAATTGGTAGTTGAGCATCCTGAGTTTGATCCCAAGTAAATAACAATAATATTGCACGATTGATGACCTAAATGTTCGGAGCGTTTACTCGACATTAAGTCATCGTTCCAGGTGTGGATCGTCAGTTTTAATATTTTCTCTCTCATTCAGTTATTGAAAAATGTTGCAGAAGATCGTTGTTTTCAGTCTCTGTGAAAAAGACTGACAGTCATCAATGTCTCAAGTCTAATGTGACCCCTTGAAGCAAGGAACCTTTACAGCCTCTCTAAATAAACTCGTGGATTCACATAAGTTCGTATTTTAACACCCTGAGCGGGTACAAAGAGTGGAAATTGCTTCTTGCCTGGATGCTCACAATAGGTGATAAGGTTTTCATATAAAGAGCAGGCCACTATCTATGAATCATAGGCTTAAGCCGTTTCATCCACATCCTACATAACTCAGGTCCATGTCCATTATGAACCTTCACCTAGCTCTGCCCTGGCTTTGTTTTGGTCCTTGTTTTAGGACTTCGGTGTCCTTCATTCAGTAAGTTTTTTCAAACTTACAAGTCCTAGGACTGATTTTTATCACAACTCCATTCGCCCCACCCCACCCATGTTTAAGTGCAGAACTGAGAGTTTCCATTCATTTTCATCGATTTATTTCCAGCCTAAAAACTCTTGCCCTTAAAGACTTATGTTCTTCTAATCTTTACTGAAACCCTTCTCTTGATTCCTTACGGCATTCTTTTATTTCTTAAATGTCATAATAAATAGAAGTTGAGGTGTGAGTTGTACAATTTACTGTATATCTGTGTCACAAGACGACAGGCTTTCTCCTATCGGGCGGAACGAGATCGTTTTCTGTCTTTCGTGGTACATTTTATGCATGGTTGATAAAAATAGCAAGCCCCAAAAGCACAAAGGCCAACTCATCCTAGTAAAGGGAGTCATTAGGGAGATTCTCAACACTGCTAGTAATTTAGAGGGCCATCAGGTTATTTGATATCCTTTGAGATGTATCGAAGAATACAACTGCAATGATCGTTGACATTGCTCCAGTGTAATACTCGGATAATAAGCGAGCATGAAGAAATGTTTGGACACCTGCTCGCGAGTAATAGTAAGACAAAAGCATGTGGGAAGAGACATGTACACAGGAGGAGCTTTGCTGCCTGTAATATATTGATCAGTTACTTACAGAACACCAGACTGCAACACAATCAAGTGTTCCCAGCTTAGCTGGAGCGCCCGACTCATTAAAGTACAAATTTACACAGATTAAACAAAAACATTACGAGCAATTACCGAGTTGTTGCTGATTGAATTTGGATGTACTTCGGCCTACGACAACTGTCACATTTCACGTTGCTTGGCAAGGTAATTTTGAAGCATGGGGACAAGACCCTAAACCTGACCTCAACCATATGTAAACATGGGTGGACGATATTTAACTAAGACGGGGGGCAAGAAATAAAAAACTCGATGATAGCTTTGTTTACCTCCTCGTGCTTCTCCTGGTGCAGGAAGTGATTAGCATCAACTACAACGACTTTCTGTAGATTGGGAGATAGAGGTTTGTTGGCAGCAAGTATTTCTTCTGGATCCAAAGATGATTGAAATCTTGAAACGTTTTGGTAGCCAAGATCCCTCGTAGCCTTTATTAATAATGACGGATGCTCGAGAAGCTTGTCTATAAACGGAGCATTCAGTTCGATAGACCTGCACATTTGCTCGCAATCATGAACGTTCATTAACAATATAAAATGTGTGTCTCGATTCTGTACATACAGACATCATACTTCTGGAGGCATTGTGAGTTGCTGTAGGCAAAAGCTTCAACACATGTCCCAACGATCCTAAAAAGCTCTGATGATATCCATGCTGAAGCAAAGAGGAAACAATCACATCTATGTTAGGTCTTGAAGACGTACATTTTCTCTACAGTCAATGATAATCGCAGAGTTCACACAGTGGAGTTCAGTTTTACTTGCGCAAACCATCTTGACAGCTACTCTGCCGCCATCTCATGTCAGTTCGTTATCCACACAAGGTTCAAGTCGACAACCAACCTCTTAAAATTGCGATACACATTCAAACCGGGTGTGAATCCCGTTTTATCAAAAGTATCTGCATAGAATTGGAGATCTGCAGATGTGAGCCAATCTGGTAGGGCTTCTTCTTTGTCGGAGGAAGCCTTTGGAATACCGAGTTGGGGATCGTCGCTCCACCGAGTGAGAAACGCCAACATCAAAGAAGATGTCTTCTCCTTGGCAAACAAAGCTTCTGCCCGCCCGGGCTCCTGAAATGAATTCACACAGTTCCGAAACTTATGACAACTCGGCCACACTTTACACAGCAGAGCTTGAGGAACCGAAAATATCCGGCTGGATACAGGCAGGAAATATATAGATCCATCTTTTCAAGCCCGGTCATCCAAATAGTGAATTATTCCTACTTCAATGACCATGAGACAGCAATGGCATTCGGTTAATCTGGTACCGATTGATTATACAAACCTGATATCGATTTCAAAGTGAGAAAGCGGTAGAGATACCTGGAAGACATGTATATATACTTCATCGCCGAAAGCAGCCCGCGTGTCCTCCCAGAGGGTTAGATGAACTCTCCATGTGGAAGGAACGAAACCCAGATAAACGACGGCTCGGACAAGGTCAGGTCGGATCCGTGATAGATGCCCGGCGAACGAAGCTCCCCAGTCGTGTCCAACCACAAGGACCTGCACGTGGTGGATGCACTCGTTCAATGTCAGTATCGAATATAAATGATTGTGTTGAAATGAGCTGTCAAAATGGGATGCCACATGAAAGGAAAATTAAGTGCATTCCATCTGAGAAGGAATTGCATCTTATCTGATAGATGGTCCTCTTTGTGACTGCTAATCTGAAGAATATATCAGTGTGATTCATAGATCTTCCTCCGCATGTTACATAAGCGTTTTGAAATGGGGTTGATAATGCTAACTCTCAGGGTCGAATGCCTTACCGAGTCTTACCTTCTCAGTCACATTGAGTCCTTTCAAGACGGCAACTATATCACCGATTATGTCATTCCACATGTACTTGTCGCTTGCTTCAACGATTTCTGACTCGCCTGCACCTCGAGTGTCTGGAACGATAACGCGGAATCCAGCAGCAGCCAGTGCTGGAATTTGGTAGCGAAAGCTGTACCAGAACTCTGGGAAGCCATGCAGAAGCAACACCGGAGGTCCTGAAGAAGCGACAACCCCAAACACGATCCACTTACAACGGTGCTTGGATTGCAATCACAAGCTGTTGAAAGACTTGGTGTCCAATAAGGGTACATACTGATGACAGGAATGTGGAAGTCCAGTGAAGGAATGAAGACGTACATCGCTCACACTTGCGACAGTAAACTGCTCGATCTTCTTGCCGATCAGTTTCCTTCCTCAGAACGGAGAAAACGGGAAGGAAAATGAAATGAAATGAAATGAAATGGAATGGTAGCTATTACCAGCTCCCGCGACCACGCAGTGCACTCTATTGCCGAGCTCTGTCACGATGTACTTATGCTCCATGCCCTTCGTCGGAAACTCCATTTTCTGTAAACCGATTACTCCGATTGAGCTTACCCTCGACCATCAGACTTCTTAACAATAGAAAAAGAAACTTGTGTCATGAATCAGACAGACCTCATGCCAGGGATTTCCTACAGCTGTCTTTTCTTTCGCTTCCATTAGAGCATAAGACGAACACACAAACTAATGGAAATATCCTCACCAGACTTCTAACCGTGATACTGCAACAATTATTGGCTCTGTGTGAGGTAGTAGAAAACCGAAACAGCGTACTAGTTCAGGCGTTGTGAGCTGGACCGAGTAACATATCAAGATGAATGGGAAGACTTCATCAAGTAGTCAAGGATGAAACCAAAACGGAAACATAGGCCCCAATCGCACTACATGACATCCGATCTCACACATCTGAAAAAGATACTGATAAGAGTTGGTGCACGAAGAGTGCAAGCTGTGAAATGTGGTGATTTGTTAACAAGAAATCTTGGCTCAATCTCATCTCTTGCATCCAGCATTATGGGGCTGTTGAACGTGAAGGATCTCGTGCCGGATCTAAGGTCGCCCTCCAGTGGATAATGGAGGCCAATAGTACGGATTCGCATTGAAAGGCAACTGACGAATTCCTGTCAGCCGAGAAAGTCGTCAACCCCGTGACTGACTGCCTGTGACCAAATGAGGCACCTGATGGCGGCCGCCACCAGCACGGCGTATTTCATTATAGACTCTTGCCTACTTCGACGCATGCGTATTGGACTTTATCTTCATTCCCGATGTTGGCATGAAATAGTGGTTCATCAAAAGTAAGTAGTTGGGTAAAGACACTTGGTCCTATCCAAGCATATGTAATAAAATATGTAGAATGTGATTATTGGGATTAAAAAATATATTTTGAAAATCTAGCAATACGTCAACCACCAGAGCATCATGGCGTCTGCATTTCCAAAAAAGATAGAATCTTCCGAGCTTGTACATCAAATAGGGCCCCCAAAATCTCGCGCACAAGAGCGAAGTAGAAGATCAAAAACGAGGAAAGAGAGCTCTAGATTCGCTAACCTTGCTGAGTTATCATTGTGAAAATTGGAAGATAAATTTTATTCAGCAAACATACACACACATCACATGTGAGCATGTAGAATTGATACATGTTTCACATTGTTTGATTACGACCACGAGAACACAAATACTTCCCTCAAAAATCTTAAATACATGTCGCTAAAAGCTTCGAACAGCTTTATTATATAGTGATAAACATAATAATTTGACTAACCGGGGTTAATCTCATCTGACTTAATCAAATTTTGAATTAACTCCTACCATGAATTATTGGTACTATAACATTGCTATACATGCACCTCTGTATGTTTATGATTGTATCATGGATGGAATTATATTTATTTCACATCCATTCATGGGAAAACACATTTTATTGAAGTTCTTGTTTTATGGAATGAAAGAACTATTTTATCTACAAATTATTAGTTTTTACCAATATTTATGCACAATCATACTATATTTAGAGAGCATGTCATAATCAGCATATAGATTATTGTGAAATTTTTTTCAATTATTTGAGATCTATTTTATTGATTTTATTATTTTATTCTAAATTATGCATTGATGTATTTAAATCATTCATCATATTTTAATTCTTTATGAGCTGCTAGTTAGTATTTTGAGATGTTAAAATTTTAAATGCGATTATTGAATTTTTTACAAAATTTTAGATTCCTGATTTTTACAGAAATTAATTGTGATTTTCTACTCATTTCAATGTTATGCAAAATAAATCATATTTTAACGAAGTTTTTGTGCACATTACTTTGCAATCATCAATTTGTAAATTTTTAATATAATTTTATTTGATGTGCAAGCTTTTGTAAACATCGACATCCAGGAAACCCTGGGTACCCCACAGGGTTCCGTTCTATCCCCTATCCTCTTTAACGTTTACATGCATAATCCATACTCATTTTTTTCCCTATTGAACGTTGAAATTTTTCAGTCTAAAAATTCTGCTCTTATCAATGCAAAATATCATGGGAAACATAAAATGTCATTCAAACCTAATTTTAATTGATCACGGATGATATTATTTTCATTGTACATTCATGGAAAAAATATATTATTGAAGTTAATAGGACATGAAAGAATAATTTTATCTAAAGACATCAATTTCAACAATTTCGATGCACAACCATAAATGTATATTAAGAGAGCATGTCATAAGCAGCACACACATCAGTGATGGCCTGTCTCGTGTCTGAGGAGTATTTCGATCGACTTAACTGCAAGAATGCATAACATGAAGAATCTTCGGCAGCATTACCTGAATGACACCGGTCGATTGGCTGATCGGTTGACTCCTGAAAACTCTGAGGGCGACCTCTGCTACTTAATATCCGTTCATAGACTCGCAATTGTTTGGGTTCACACCTCTGGACTTACATGACTAGCAACACTCATCAAAAGGTCTGCCACCAGCAACCAGTATCGACGGCATCAGGATGCCGTCGTCCCTTCCACGCGGGAAGTCTCGCCGGAAGTCTGGCCCAGAAGCCATTCATGCTCACAGATTTCTTCTACTGTCAGTAATTCTGCAACATGCTTGGGCCCGTGCTTCCCTGGCCCTATCTTCGAGAGCAAATCCAAAGCTGGTGCGGGAAATAGCTCTCGTCTAGGCTGGAGTTTTGCAACTGCTCGAGTGAACTTGGCGCCTGACGTTTGGAACGGAAGGCTTTTTCCGCTCAGAATGCTGAGCAGTATGTTTCCCAAGGATTGGACATCAACCGTGGGCTGGCCTTCTCTGGCTGCTTCCGCCACCTCTTCAGGACTGAACCAGTCACTTATCTTAAATCCGTTGTGAACCTCCTTGGCAAGGCTTCCGACCACTTCTGCACGACTGAAATCTACGACCTTCGTGACCATGAAGTCCGGAGCTGTGAATAGAACGTTCTCCGGTTTCAGGTCCATGTGCACGACGCCATACTTATGCATGAATCGGACTGTCTCGGCTATTTGCTTGAACACTCTGCGTGCACTGGTGTTCTCGCACGTTTTGATAAAATCATGGAGAGTGATGTCTTTGGCATAGAGCTGTGTCACAGTGAACATTTTGTTCGGGCTTACCAGTACATCCTCCAACTGCACGATGTGCTCGTGTGGTGGTAGTACCTTGTCTGTGATCAAGAGCTCTTTGTAGATCCTTCTCAAGTCTTCGGCCTTCAGCCCCTCTCCCCCTTCATTCTTCCTCTGAACTTTCATTGCCAGTCTCTCATTTCCATCGTTTGCATTTTCGACCTCATATATCTTACCGCTCGCACCTTCGCCTATTTTGACGATCTTTTTGTAGAACTTATAAACGTCCTTATCATCTTGCAGTGTCTTTATTGTAATATACTGAGCACGAACCCTATGCCTCAGCTCGCTATCCTGGTCTAGCAAAGGATATCAGCTCTCATGCGGAGATCACTCACTGAAGGTAACGAACAAACAAATTCTGATGCACACATTTGATGGACAGGACTGCATTGAACTCATCGCATTGATAATTAAATTACCAGGAGAAGAAACAAGAGCCTACCTCTGCTCCTCTAGTGTCCACTACATTCCTCTTCTTCCTTTTAACATATTTAGATGGTGGTTTGGCAACAATAGGTTCAGGGGCCGGGGTTGTTTCATCTACTCCCGGTGCTGTGGCAACCTGAGGTTCATGGGCCGGGGCTGTACCATCTACTCCTGGTGGTATGGCAGCATCAGGTGCATGGCCTGAGGCTGTATCATTACTAGCAGGCTGTACACAACAGCGAGAATTTCACAGTAAGAATTTTATCGTAGGCACTCTGTTCGAGAACAAGAAGAGCCTGCAAGCATGAAACTATTGCACTTTTTGAAGTGCAAAGTCGCGAGCAGAAAAAAAGCACACCGAAGCTGATCAGACACTAATGTCTGGCTGGAGTTCCATAAAGCGGTTCCTACCAGGAGCGTTACTCGGATCATACTCACAGAAATCACAAATTTCAGTTCACCCGCATGCGTGTTCAGAAATCACAGCACAGGATTCTGCAGACTGAGATCTGCAGAGCGATGTCTGAAAACGATATTTGATATTGGGAGAATACACCCCGGAGAACCAGACAGGTAAGGCAAGATTCTTTGTGGGCTAAAAAATGTGTACTGCCTTTGCTCTCTGACGAGTAAAAGAACCTTGGACTAAAGCGTCTCGAGCGCATAAACTGCAATCTTAGTAGGCGTACATGTGCAACGAAATTAGAGCAGTTAAGATGGTAATATTTTCCTCAAATGGGAATACTTGTCAGCAGTGGTTTAGAGATCAAATTCCTAATATCGAGGTTCATTCGTGAACTGGACTTTCTGGGTACAAACAGGACACGCGCACAGGTCTGGATTTGTTTCTGCTGTACAGATTATGTGCGGTGCACACGAGGCACAACAGAGAAAACGTCTTCACAGACATTCATATGAGGTCTTTAAGACGATCAGTTGTGGACGATATCAAAGTCAAAATTTTACAATGTTAACAGTCTATAACACAAGCATTAGCTCGCCCTTATGCTTTGACCTTGATCGAATTCTAATTACACCTGCCGAGCTACTTTATTCCAAAAGGTTCTGGGGTCTGGAGGGGACTTCTGGAGAATTCAAGCAATACATCTCCAGATTCATAACATTGATCGCACATGCGTATATTTCATGTTGAACATCTGGTATGAAAGTGTGTGCAGCATGCATCCTTTCTTCCAAAATCGTTATCTGGCAAACTCTTGCCAGCCATACCCCGGGGGCAGGGTAGACGGTCAAATTTGACTGCCTTCAGAGAAATTCCCAGTCCATTCAGTTACCATGTCGAAGTACGTCTCTGTCTTACCTTACGTCTGTAAGGTTCAATGCCACTAACCCGAATTTTGCCGATTTTTGCTGTTAATCAATGTCATTAACCTGTGTCTGTAAGGACTCTAGAAATTTAAATTACTCGCTACCTACCCCTTTTCCTGTACTCGCTGCCATGGTTTCGGTATCCATCGATCTATCTTCTGACCTTCACCGCAGCAGCTTGTCTTTGCAAGAGACTGCCCTGTTATCTGTCAGAAGACACCCACGAGTTCCAACGTAACTCTCCTAGCATCGAGCCCGACTATCTATCAACCGAATTTCCATCTAGTCCACGCACAATGTAAAGAATACACGGAACTTGATGTTAAACTGAGCCTTTGAAGGACAGTGTACTTCACGGATCGGTCTAGAGAAGAGTAGACAGGTTTTCAGGCAATAATCTAATTCCTGGTCTCCGGCCTTACGAGCAATACTTGGTAGTCTACGATGCCTGTGTGACCCCAAGCGTTGCCAACCTTTCAGCGCTGAAGCGTTGCGAGATGAATCAGTCAATCTCACTCAGATATGAGGCCAGTCCAAAAAAGAGGTTATCTACTTGTGACCAGGCGATACGTACTTACAATCAGAGCGCTGATTTTTAGAAGCCACAGAGCACTCTTGAGGACTCATCACATCGGACATTTCAGACTTCGGAAGAGAGTGAGACTGACGTCCGAAGTAGGATTTTAGTAGTGTTTTGGTAGGCATGCATTTAACGAATTTGCCAACGGCACCGATGAGGATGGTCCTCTCTGCCCATTCCTCGGTTCTCATTGAAACAACCATGGATGCTCTGACGATGATCTGTGGTCATCTCAATCCTTGGGCTACATTACTATGAACGCCAATGAACTTGCTTCCCCATCAAATCATTCTCGTGGATTCGTCTCATCGGTTACGATCCAACTGTTCATTTATTCAGATTGAGTCAAACTTTAGGTCTGACAGTTTGTACAGACACAGTTAATGTTTTGAGCTTAAGTTGTGGATATCTATACGGGTTATCTTAGCCCACTATCACAACGAAAACAGATTGAATCTCGCTGATGAAAGTCTGCAGTACTAGACGCATAAGTCTTCACTGTACGTGACGATTTAGCGAACATCCTCTGCCAACCGGATTTCTTGACTCGTACGCTTCTCACTTTCAAGCGTTCTAGAGCCTCCCGAGCATGATATCAATTTTTATACTCCAACACGATCAATCTAAAGCCTTGCGTTGGATCTGATCGTCGCTTGTAATTATGAATGTGAAAAATCTCAAAGTGCATCATAATTTGATTAAAGATCAATAAATTTTATAGCTTTTTTAACTGAAGAGTCATTTTTACCATCCCACGAAACCTAGCCTCGATTCAATGAAATTACATAATGATTGTATCCAAAATTAAAGAGCAGTTAAAATTTAATTTCTTCATTTTGGAGAAATACTGCATTCAAAAAAATTATTCAATGTAACGAATATATCATATATCAATAAAATTGGAAGATCTACTTTATTGTAGAAGGTATAATTACATGTATGTATAACGTTTACACTAGAATTGGATAAAAATTGCATGGTTTTGCTTAACAGTCATCTTATACATTGTTCTTCTTTATCCGCTTTTTCTTATACTTAAAAAATGCAACTACACAAAGAAATTTAATCAAACCTACATTACTCTAGAAAGAAATGAAATAATTTCATTACATAAATTGAATTCAAGTTGAAAATCAGGCATCATTATAATGGTAGATTAATTATTATTATCTTTTTCCTTGACATAAAAGAACGTCAAGAGTAATTATCGAAATCTCAATATTAATTTTTTCTTTATTTTACAACTGATAAATTTTTACCAATACAAAGCCTACTTCTATCATAAATGGAAAAATTATGCAATCTTATAAACTTTACTTTCAGCTAAAGATAAAATAAGAATTCTTTGAAACATCACAAATACTTTTCTATAAACTTTTGGATTGAAGTATTATCTTTTCATTTTGTAAAAATCAAAATAAATTCCAAAAATTCTAATTTTACTCAGAATTGATTAACCAATATATAATATACCAATGAAAAATGATCATATTTATATTTTTTTTAGATCAAAGACATACGTGATATAAATTAGAATACACTTGTAAGTAACATAATTCAAAAATCGATTTTTGTTGATTAATATCCAGAAAATATTATGTCAAAAAGACTTTTATAAAATATACAATAAAAAATTTCATGTTTTTTGTGTTTAAGGATGAGATAACTCTTCTATTAACAAATTTCATTCAATGTAATACAATACATCAATATTATATCATAAGAAAACTATCGAGGTTATATGAGTGAACATAATTTATTGGTATACAGCATCATTGGATATTTCATTTTCCAAAATATTAATAAAATCATAATTATATAATTGACTTTAATACGTTAATACTATTTGAAATGTACAGTAGTTGCCAAATTGATCTATGAGCATCAGCAGTAAACAGACTTGAGGGGATACAAGTAGATGTAGCATCAGATGAAAGTTCACGACATTGTCTTATCTATTTTTGAAAAAAACCTTTACTCCAAGCTTCATAGTTTTCTGCCTTTGCAAAATATTAGCTAAAACTATATCCATGTTATATAAGTAATAATTCAAGCATAGTTCCTTCCACTATAAACAATCTCCATGAAAAACTTCCAATGTTTTATTGGCTTATGGAAAAAATTCAATCTGATTGTGTTTGTTTACATTCTACTATTTCAATTCAACATGTAGATTATTTTTTTGGGGTAAAATTTCTACATTAAAGAATAACTATCTATGATAAAATAATTCCAAAAAATCAAGATTTTACACGTTATAAATTTTAAAAAGTAAAATATCAAATGCATGTTGTTTCGGTTCAAGAGACCGATTACATTTGAATATTTTAAATGCAAAATATAAATTCGATTCAGAACTACTCAAATATTGTTGAAACTTACAACATCTGTTTCATTTTAGGAGTGTTATGTAATCAAAGCCATGTGATGATATTTGGTTTTGCATATTGCGTTATTCAGCTTGCTTTTACATATATATGACATTAAAAATGTAAATAAAAATGTAATTATCCATTTTGGATTCAACATATACGTGAAGCATATCTTCGTAGACGTCATGGAAACCAGGATGGATCATGATTACATATAAAATATCGGGTGGTTAAGACTGACTATTTTGGAGTTCTTTATGTTCAATAATTTGGGAATACCGATCACACATGAGAAATTATCTGTACTATATGGCAGTTTTAAAAATATTACCGCATTGGATTGACAATAGGAGAAAGGGTTCTCGGATCGATATAAGTGTGCTGTGATCGAGCAGGATTCTGCCTTGTTGCAACACGGCTTAATAGAAACCTTTGTGTTCGTGCCCAATTATCTACCACATGCAGAGAAATCTCCGCCTCAAAGATTTAACTGTTACTATTGGAGTCTATCACATGAGAATACCAAAGGCGATGAGCCAGTGGATTTAGGTTCAGCAGGAGACATTGTGGGCATCATCATGGGGCCAAGGTCATAGTGTTTACTGAGAAGGTCACCTTACATTTCATTAATTGGTGACGTAGCTTAACTGAAGTACAAATAATACGTTTAGACATTCTCAAATTACTGAATCCAGGAGCCATGATAATGTCTGTTAACTCGTGGCGCAAAATTATCGTCTTTGAGTTATAGTCTGGTGATGGGATTTGAAGCTCTCTGATATCACTCTGATTTCAGTATTTGCTATTGATTGAGCACTACATATGAAGCATTCAGAAGTAAAAGTCAGGCTTTGAGACATTTCCATTTCAACTTGGGTAAACGAACAGTATTTTATTACAAAAGATGCAGGTTCCTTGATAGGGAATGCTACAGAAAAGACGAGTGTCGTCTTTGCTGAAGGAAAGTACAGAAATTATTGAAGTAGCTCGATTCGTGAATACAGTAGTTTCAACTCTTATCAGTGTACAGATTCATTACAATGCCAATCAGGAGAAAAGTTTCGTAGAGTCATATCTGGAGTATCGTTCGCCTTGTTTCCTTAAGGGGCTCTAGTATGTGCATTTGCAGCAATTCAGAATTCAGAATTCCAACTTGGGATTTGTAGATTTTGTTCTATTTGAGATCCATCCATGCTCTGCATGTTCTGTTTCATGAACTCTTTGTTTTGTGCCCACTATCGACGTTGCTTTGCTCCTCGCTTTGCTCTTATTCCTCCTGGCGGGGGTCTTTCCCATGTCCCCGACAGAAGGTGAGCGCTTGTCCCATCGCCTCGGATGATGTGAGTTTTGGTCTGATGATCGAGTAAGGTGGTGTACCTGCGGGATGGAAGAAGCTCCTTCCGTCTGTGAAAGTTGTGTCCGATTCGGATCCCTTGTTCCATGAAGCAAGCGTAATCGTGCAGCTGGACCGGCAGGACGGTGTTCCGACGACCACGAGCTACTCGCCAACCCGCTTGGCCGAAGGGCAGATTGTCAGGATGGAAGCCCGCTGGAGGTTTCGGGTTATTTCGCTTTTCCTCTGCAAGTCTCGCATCGCAGCCTGGACAGCCAGTGGAATTCCGACCTTGAACTCTCCGGCAACCAGCGCAAGGTTGTGGCGGGCTTCGAAAGGCGCCGGGGAAAAAGGTCGACAGTGCTGTGAATCTGCCCATTGCGGAAGACGTGAGCAATGCGCTCCCCTCTGCATGTACTAGTCCACCATCCCTTCCGTAGAATTTGATCCGACCACTGAGTTGAGAATTGCCCTCGTCAGAAACTTCTGTTGCTCATTCCACACCTCGGTCACAGCAAGTACCATCGGTAACAATCAGCTCATGATCTTCACTCGACTTGTGAACCGCAAGGATTTCAGAGTCACTTGCATCGGACTCCGCTCTGTTTCAGGGTGAGGTCTCTGTCCTCACGACGAGGTCAGTTCGAACGGCTCGAGCACAACCATCGACTGGTGGAGTTATCATCTACGCCTCCTTGTGAAGGCGGACTTGATCCTCCTTATAATGCTCTGTTTCAGAATGTCGATGGATGAAAACGTGAGATTTCGAATCTTATCTTGTTTGTGACGGTGATTAGAAACTTCACTGAGAAAATCAAGATGATCCATCACAAGAACAGAGCACAAGACTTTGGAGGGAAATATAGATCGGGCCATCTGAGACATTAAGGAAGTTCAGAGCGATCTTCCACCATAAATGCTGTACCTCGTGGCTTGAATAGATTTCACGTGGGGGTTGCTTTTGTAGATGCACGCAAATTCATTGCCTATCGGGAGAGATCGTAGAGAGAAAGGGTAATTGTCAAGGAGGGAACCTAAAGCAGACTGACTTCATACTACAGCTGCTCTTGTTGACCTCCTACAGAGTTCCTACTTCACGATTCAATGACGAAGTCTTCTACTTTTGAAATTCTCCACGATTTGCTGGAGCGGGGTTTTAGGGTTCTCGATGTAAGCTGATGACATGAGGTGGACAGACGTAAGACTAAAGGTGAACTTTATGGTTATCTTGAGAATTCACGTACTGGTCGTGCACCTCTCGCCTCGGGAGGCAGAGTAGCTTTCCGACCGTTTGCCGGACAACATTTCCTCCTGAAATTGCTGCCTCTGCGTTTTCGTGAGAACAAGGTCCTGAGGATGTTTAACATCTTGACTGAACCCTTGAAAGATCTTTGATGGTATGCAGACACGAAATCTCCGCATGCAGTCGTGCTCGTCAACACCTCGGTGGCTGGGAACCGCAGCTCTTGAAGTACACGTTGTTCGTTGCGCCGGTCAGTAGCATCCACATTTCACCTGCCTTACGAAAAATGTATAACTTCAGAAGCACTGATGGAACAAATCTACCGAATGGTATGTGCTATTGCTATATGACACAAATCTGAACTCGGTGGCAGCTGAGAGTGCTTCGTCCTCTCACCCGAATCACTCATCTACAATTCTTTTTCCAAAGCTTACAAATCTTCTGAACTGAAGTAATATAGCTAGCGACAACCGAGAAGTCCATGGAGATTCATCGGAAGATCTTCAATAGTCTTAAAAATTTCTTCCCGGCTTTTGGCCCTGACGATAATTCACGATAGCTGGTTTGAAATGAACTTGTTCAGTTGAAGAGAAGCTGAGGGAGTGTGCTGAAGTCTGAATGCATCACTTTTCCTTGAATATTGACTCTGAAGGACGACGCTGTGTTCCTTAGTAAAGGGAGAATGAGCTGAGATGCATAAACAGAGCACAATGTGACTCCAAAATCATCTCTTCGGACTTCTTTACGTCAATATCCCTGGGAGAGATTACTTCTACGACCTTGCGACCTCAGGAAAACCCATTTACATTTCGGCTCATTAGACACTCTTCAAAACTTTCTGAAGGAGCCGGAATAGTTTTATTTAGTTCTATGTGCCATTACGAGAATCTCGATTACCCCACCCTCTCACAGGTTTTGGTCGATCCGTTAGTCACATTGCAATATCTTCCATAACCTGGAACTGCTGTCGGCAGTGGATCGGAGATGAGCAACGGTTATCAACTAGCATAGATTGGATCCATTTCGGACACGCGGACAGATCTTAATCAGTGTCTGCTGTACTGATGAAGTGCTGAGCGTACTAGAAACCAAAGGTTGACGTCTCCACAATCATTCTAATCTCATTTGTTCAATCAGTCATTTTTTCTACGTAAAAGCCAATCTTTGGCACAAACGACTCGAGAAATGACAGAATCTTATATGCCATAGACATGTGGTGGGCTTATAACAGGGCCCTTAAGCTAGGACAGCTGCCAAGCTACATATGGGTACTCCATAGTCTCTGGAGGGGGTATTCTGGATTTATGGAGGTCAAGATTCCCAAAATTGATCGTGCCTGCGCTTGGGCTCGCATTGAACATCTGGTAAAAGACTGTTGAGAACATGCATCCTTTCTTACTAGATCGTCATCCTGCAAATCTAACGGGCCCTGCCCAGAGGCAGGGTAGACTGCAATGCACAGGAAAATTTATTCCATTCAATTAACATTTTGATGCACGTCTTTGTCTTCGAATCGGTGAATTGTAATCTGACCATTTTACGCCGTTAGCTACAAAAGCTTTTTGCGTAAGGATTTTGTAGATTGAATACCTCGCTACCACCAGGCGCGATATGTGTATAGCTGTCATGGCTGTGTTGGTGATGGACCTATCATCTTGACCTTCACCGAGCCAAGCCGGTGATGGTCAAGAGACCCTCGCATTCCAACGTGACATTGCTAGCATCGGGCGAGACTACCTGTCGAGCAATTCTTGGTAGTCTACGATGCCTTTATGGCATGAAGCGTTGCCGACCTTTCATAATCGAAGCGCTGCCTGAAGACTCAGTCTCTTTCAGAAGACGATGATAATGAGTCAGTCAACGGAAGTGACTGTTTAGAAACGCACCAGGCTATGACTTCCTTTCTGTGATGTTGCTGTCACAAGACGCGAAGCACTGCCGCGAAGACTGAGGCTGATGTTTGCAGACGGTTTTGACTAATCTGTGGAGGGTTTAACAAACAGTATTTTACGAATCTCGTGGTCCTCTGCCCCGTCGTCCAAATCCAGAATCCAGAGAAGGTTATGAACCTAAGAATCTCTCTGTTTATCAGGTTCTTGGGGCTAGATGTTTAATGGTTTCGATAGTTGACAAGTTCAGTGAAGAGAGTCCTGAGAGTTAGATACCCTGTTTCTCTGAGAAAGATAAACCTTGGAACACAGCTTATAACTATCAGACCCCTGTTCATCTTTCTGCATAATTTGGTCAGAGGTCATACGATACAAATCTCCGCATGGAGTGGTCAGAAACTCAAACCAAAACGAAATTCGACCATGACTTTCGATTTAGGTTCAGCTGGGAGGAGCAGCCGAAGAATCCTCTTCCCACAGTAAACTACTGGTCAGTGTTTCTAATAGACCTACAAGTTACTATGCAGTAATCTCTCTGGTGCTTCCAGCGTCGGTTCGATAGCACCGATAACAGATGCGCTAGTCATCTCAAGCTTAGGCGTAAATTAGACAGCTCCAATACAGTGGCTTCTTTATTATATCAAAAATATTCTCAACGAAATTTATGCTTTGTTTCTGGTTGTATTGCCTCGAGTTTTCAATGACATTAAAAGTGAAATGATGAAGGGGGTCTTGGTATAGGAAAGGATACTGGCAAATTGAAGTAGCTTCCTCTCTAACATCGGCCACAGTCTAATTCATCATTATATTTTTGAGTTAGCTCTCACTCTCAATCTGTTAAGGAAGACAATGGGGAGGCTGATGATGAAAGTCTTGCATTCGTACTGAGAGGGAGTGAAGCTTAAAGTAAAGTATGTGATTTTCATCACTGGGACACTCGTTGCCAACATTCAAGACAAGAAACAATTCCTTTTCACAAATGAAAGTGTGTTGTGCTACAAGTGTCTCTGTTCCAGTTCTGTTTAGTATTTCCCAAACATACTCTCTCAGCCAGTTATGTCCACTCATCCACTTTTGAGCATCGTTGACTCCAACGGAGGAGTCCACAATGGTTCATGTCGTAGATAAAATCCTGTTTGATCATGTCCAGAGCAACCTTCTAGACAACCAATTTTTAAATTTCATCAGGGTTTGCAAACATCAAGCCTGTTTAGGTGCAAAACACATATATCGTTGGCTTTCGTGTCAACCATCTTAATCACGACATATTTGTGTGTGATACTTTTCTCTAAGTTTATCATATCACGAACATAAGAAAGATATTGGTTGAGCGCCGATTCTAAGATGTTCAACATGTTTCATAGCAGAAGGTCTTCAAACCTCTCAAACCTCTTTCGTAGTCGCTCTCTTTCATGATTCTGGTCCCAGGTTCCGTCGTGAAACCGGTGGGTCTTCAATTGCATGAAATCGCTCAGTCTGCCATTTCAGTGAAGACGAAGTAACTGCCATGTGAATATCATGAGGACCGGACCGGCCGCTGGGGAAAGACTCAAGTAGAGCGGGGATCTTCAAAGATCTTAGATGCTCGCAAGAGTTTGCGTGTCTTCAGGTCCAAGAGAAAACTTTCTCATTCTGTGGACCTTCGAAACCTTCACCGCTTGACCAGAAAATTCTTCACGCACGTTTCAGACCAGGATGCGAACACCACACGTGTGTCTTCATCAGAGGGCCCAGTTCTAACAACGTCCCTTAATTGTCCAGGACTAGTTGGAATCATCCGCATGAGGCAGGTGAAATCAATCGATTAGGAAATTAGACTTCTTCGCAACCCAACAACGATTCCCCAATTTCAGAAAAGTCTGTCAGACAGCGAGTCATCGATTGTTTGCACGTAGTTTTCTTTCGGGCTTGTCCTCTGATTTATGTATCATGGTGTATCAGCGTGGCGATCTGCTGCTTCGTTCTTCCCAAGGTCTGATATTCTCATGTTAGACGGAATCTCGAAGGGTAGTTTAGATTATGTGCCTTCCGGATCCAGTGTAGCACCATGTCCTTTCGATTTGACGGTTTCACATAAGCAAAGAGGATTGCAATCATGTACAGAATTTGAAATGAAATGAAATCTAGAATCTGCCGGGGTGCTGGAGTTATCACAAATGTCAGCGTAGTTTGAGAATAAGCAGACACTTCATTGAAAGTATTGAAAGCGCAATACTATCACGAACTGTGATGATTTCGCTTTCAGAAGAAGTCTGACCTCTTAAGTGCAACTACATCATCATCATCATTCAGAAGCCTCGGAAGTGGATTCTGCCAGAGAGAGCTTCGTAACATCATTTCAAGCTCGCTGCATGTCAGCCCATTTGGTCCGAGACTTTCAGTCTGCAAGTAGTCAAGATCATTTTACTCTTAGCCCAAATCATGATCCTGCTTTTGAATAAACTCATGTCCACCTTCGTACAGCCAGGTTTGCGGAATTTCCATTAATAAAAGTGTTGACTTCTGAAGATAGATGCCGTTTTTGAAGCGTTAGCCGAAGATAGAAGGCCTCATTCCGTTTCAGTCGGAGCGCTTCTGTCCTTGTCGACATAAATCAGTTAAGACGGCCTCGGTGTACATTTGATCCAGATCACTCTGCTTTCATTTCAGCGACTCTTGAGTCAGGAAAAGGATACGAATGTGCCTTCGCGCATCATTGTGGCAAGATAATGGTCAGTGGCAGGACTCCTCATCGTGTGCTCGTTAGACAAACCATGCGTCGGAAGGTTGAATTCATGCTCTCGGAGACGGCTTCAGACTGACTACGATTTCAGTCTAACCCAAAATACTCTTAAATATTCCAAAAGTTCAAGCTGGATACAGGATTCAGAACGAGAGACCCTCGTGATGGTATGTGAGTTACGCATCTCTTGCAGCAGAGGCTCTTCGTCGGCCAAGGCGTAACAAACCTTCACGCAATACACTACAGAATAATGGAGAGAAGAATCGTATCTTTGCGTAGAACAATGGATCATTGAAGATCAGAATCTGTGCACACGCAATCAGCCGCCTGTGGCCGTTCGGTTCTTCTTCATGGCATCTCGATGCCGAGGAAGAATATTTTTTTTTAAGCCTACTTCGGAGGCAGGGCGACTTCTAACGTCCAGTGTGATAATGGAAATCGCATATGCTGATGGCAGCTCCTCATCTATGCCGAACGAAAATATATAAAATGTGGTCAACATGCTGATCGAGGCGATGCAAATGTCGCACTGCACGACTCGACGTGTGATCATAACTTGTACGTCGGATGTTGAGCTTCATTCAAGAAGCACACCATTCATCACCATTAAGAATTTTCTATTACTCCACAGAAGAATTCCAGTAGAATAATCTCTCCTTTTGCTATGGCGACTTCATTCTTTCTCACCGGACATGATGAACATCTCCGCGGAATGTATAAGCCGCAATGAAAGGCAGAGACAAGAAAACGAAGGTTTCGAGGGAAAGCAGAGCTTCTAACTTCTTTTCTTCCCCAGAAACAGCCCACCGACAGTATTCGGCAACCGATGTGGATATCTGTCACATTTAGAACACACTGATCAAGAGTCTTTCCTGTTGTCCCCAATTTTTCTCAGATTTCAGTCCAAGCCGCAAACGAATTGCGAGCAGTGTTCAGACAAAGGTGCAGATGCATGGTACATTGACGGACCTTCGCGCACACCTCCCATCAGCGCTGGCCGAAGAAATATTTATGGAGCAATTATTTGGCTATTTATGATAGTACTCAATAAAAAGGTGATGCAGCGTCCGGGACATACAGATTTCGTGGACAGCTATTGAAGTTCTGATCGCCAAATTCATGAATAAGCAGCGAATCAGGAATCAGGGTGCACCGGCCATGAAAAGTTTTGAAGGGCTTGTAGATCGACTCCGCGTGCCATCAGACCGGGACTTGTAGTAGACAAAGCCGCAAAGTTTTGTTTTACTTCCAAGTTCAGCTCGTATTCAGGGGCATTCAGACAAATCCAAGGAATAGAGCTCAGGAGCCACTGTGATATGCACTGAGCGCATGCTTTTGTTGCAAGCTCCGTGGCCTTTAAGAGCCCAGTCTGTACATTTTGTCTTCATACGTCGTCCGGCTTCAAAATCATTGCACTATGCAAACAAAATCCTTTTAACTCCTCAGTATAACAGACTCGGCTTCGTAATGTACTGTATGGATAACTGCTCGTCGTATGTTTGAATATGTAGCGAGCTCCTCCGCGCTTCTCTGCGGATGTCGGGGTGTCTATTTCTGGCGCAACTGCTCACAGATACAGTTCTCGAAAGCCAGATCGTCCGAGAACTGTTTTCTGCAACAACTCAATCCCTGTAGAGTTTGGGGCTTCCTCCCGAGCTCTGTAGAACAACTGCTTCCAATGATGCTGGCACGTAGACACGCCCTCCGGAGTCGATCTTTAAGGCAAATCATGAATTTGTTCACCTGCTAGTACACAGGCCAAGGTGACCAAAGGCCAAGGGAATGTGTATACAGTAGAATAACCAAAAGGAAGGGATCGGTGACCAAAGGCCAACAAGGCTGGCATTAGTAAGGGATGGGATGGGAAACTAGATAATTCAGCATGAGAACGGCATGGTCTCGTCCCCCTGCGTTTGTTGAGCCCTGTTCCGGCGTCGAGTACTGCTGCCATTACTGTGGGTGTTGGAGATATTGCGTTCATTAGAGTTGTAATGGATTACAACTCTAATGGATGGTACCCCTCGACAATGTTTCCCGGGAGCGAATATATGGCGTATTCTCCTAGGTCAAGGCGAAGGAGGGGAAGAGGAAGCGTTTAGAGCTGTGCATGAAGGAAGCTTATGAGAGAGAACAGTGTCGAATCTAATCTGCATGCCTTCGGTCGCTTCACTGTCGGATCTACTGATTTCGACTGTCTGTAAGTGGGGGATTGATTGCAATGTTGCGGCGTGGAGACTGTCAGGACATATGCCTTCCCCTGTGCCGGGAAACAAGCCACCCGGCATGGAACTCGACATACATCCTTGATTTCGTTTTACGAGAATCCACAATGACACTCGCCCTCGTACAAATCGTAGCAATTTGTAGAACTCTGTTTCCCAGTTTCAGATAGCTATTTGTGTGACGCACATGTTCAAAGATCAGATAACTGTCACATATCTGCTTCAACGAGTCCTGAGAACAGTGACAACGCGTTCTGAAGATCGATGGTATGTTCAAAACGGGCTGCAATTTGTAGTTCACAAGAACGACGAGTATAAACAACAATAACCAAAGACGACGCAAAGATTTCATAGAATATTCTGGTTTGTATAAACCGCGATACTCACAGCATAAGAACTCCAACCATTTAGAGGAAACCAAAAACTAAATATCACATTCTTTGGTTAAAGTCCCAAGTCTCAAAGTTGATGTTAAGGAAATCTCATGCACTGGTTTTCATGTTTCATCGTAATCTGCTTCATGACTCCAAGAAAATGTGAAGTGTGTTTGCAAATCTCTCACCGTACAAGCATCTGAGCCTCAATGTTGACTTTTATAGTGGATAACTTTTAAACCTCCTGCACTGATTTTCATGTTTCCTCAGGATCTGCTTTATGACTCCGTGAAAAAGTAGTCATTCGATATTCACACGGGCTTGTTGGACTATTCCCAGATTTGAGTGGAGGACCACGAAATCGTCGGCGTACCGGATGAAAGAATGTAAAGTGTGTTTCCGGGTCTCTCATCATTCAAGCATCCTTGCTATACATTGCACATATGATACACGTCAACTTCTGAGACGTTTAGAAACCTTCACGACTGGCATTTGCTTTGGATGAAACGCATAAATTTCCAGTGGTCTCCATAATCTACTAACCCTTGTCGACATCCGCTTTGACATGGAAATACCGTCAAATTCTTCATGACGACACATTATCTACGGCGTTCCAGGAGGACCAACTTGTGCACTGCAATAAATCACGCACTTACTTCTGACAACCATGGATGGAACATTATGTAAACGCATCCAAGACTGGATGGACAAAAGTCGGATGATTCTCAAAAGAACGTGAACGTGCCTTAGGGTTGATTCTTTGAATCCACCCCAAGGCAAAGTTATGACGTCCAAAAGAAGTAGTAAAGCAAAGAGGTATCGGAAGCCACAACGTGTGAAGCACTGCCCTCTCTACATTCTGGGTGATAAATCGCATCATGCCCTCATTGGTCGCAAACAGTGCTACCTCAAACAGTAAGCAAACTCCCCATAACGAGATTCGTGGTCTTCAGAAGAGAGTCCAGGCAATCTAGTGCAACTCAAGAGCTTCGAGTCCAGTGATTAACATTAGCTCTATTATTCAGGTGTAGGATCACGAGGCAAACCACTTGGGGAGTTGTCGAGGGTGGGGCAATTTCATAAAGCGAAAGAGGCGGATCACAAGTCACAAGGAAGACTTGCGATCGTTTGCATAAAGACTCATACCTTCATCCTCTAATGGTTGCAAGATGGCATACCAACAACTGAATCCATGTGTCGTGTTTTGCACTGTAAACATGTGCTGCTATCAGTTCCACACCCTCATAATGAGAATCGATCTTTGGAGCCCTTGACTTCTGCTCCAGTTAGACTAAATCTCTCGTTCATCAACCTGACGTGTACAGTTCGAGGATTTATTGCATATTCCTATTCAATCTCAAAAAGTTGGCAATGCGTCAAAGCAAGTGAATGCGTTCTATCATGCATGATCATGTATCTGTTGTTCTCATCTTGGTTTGCGTTCACTAACTAACTAACCAGAGATGGGTCCAATGTGAGAGAGCCAAACGAGCACCGAGGGGAACATTGCTGCCCACTGCACACAGAGTGACACTCACATCAAACTCTTGTCCCATATCGATGACCTGTCCAAGGCCGGAATGAATAAATGGATTGCAACGTGGGTACTCCAACTTGCAGTCATTCAATCCATAAGACGCAAAACCTCGACACGAATCTCTGAATATTCTCCTCTCCCATAACTCCTCTTGAGGCTCTTTGACTGCAACTAGGAATGGCCTCACATAGAAACTTGTGATCCACTATTGTGCGTATAGTCCTGATTGCAACATTCTCTGCCGTCCTCAACTCTGCAAGTGCGCGGAGAAAGGAGGAGGGCTCGATTTGATCGTGGGTACCCTCTTACCATAGAACAGATCTACCAAATTCAGTTGCTGTCATGGTCCGGCTGGTCCTTCGACCCACAGACCCGGAAAGGCTCAGAGATGCGTCCTGCCTCCGGAAGCCGGAACTCCTTGAACACTGATGCATCTGAGCCTCAAATCTTCCACAAACATAAAGCCGAAGTATGCGGGTGCCGGAGGACTGTAGGCGCAGGATGTGTGTAAATGCAACATTCCCACCCTTCGTCTCTCGCCGTCCCTGGCCGGCACAGTAGCAGCAGCAGCTGCGTCTGAATCAAAGACCTCGATCGTGGATGATGGAAGTTGCCACTACGGACTGCGGATTTTATTTTGCGCACATACTCACGGTATCGCCGAGATCAAGAGCCCTTACATTCTCAATGATGATCCCAATCGAATGTTGTACACGCATCGTAGCTCTGGGCCATAATCTTCGTCACGGTAGTGGCAAACGAATGTCGATCCGTCCCTCCCCTTCCCTTCCCTTCCCGTTCCGTAGTCGTAGTTCTGAACACCCGGAGCTACAGTTTTCCCGTAACGAGGCTCGGCATCGCCGTGGTGGCGACGGGCAGGTTTTCCGATGACGAGGTGGCGACGGGCAGATTTCCCGATGGGACCGATCCGGCACAGGCCCGTGTCCGGAGCAGGACCACTGGTCCTCCTGGGGGCATGGAGCACCAGACGCATCTCTGTGCACGGAAAGAGCTCCACGCAGCTTTGTCGCGTCCGACCGACACGACGAATGTTCAATTCGAACGTAATGGGTCGCCGCCAAACCGAATCGCGAACAAGAATCCAAACTTCTGGCCCGCCCATATTCGGCCCCACTTCTTCCGCCCGCAATCGGAGGCAGCTCTCTGTTTTTTCTTTATCCGACGCCCCTGTATTGACAGCCTTTCCCTCTATACATATTTATATTTATATATTTATATATTTATATATCCCCCAACATTTTCGGCCTCGCTGCCCGTCCTGAACTTGCAGTCGATCCCGACAAAATTCGGCCTCGAACTCTAGTCATCATTTTAAATCCCCGTGTCCCGCACCGGCTGCTCCGGATCAGACGAAGGGAACTCGGCCCGCAAACGCAAACCCGAACGCGAACCCTGCCTCGGAATCTGAATGTAATCTCGTGTTCGCGACTTGCCCCGCATTGTGGATTTGCCATGAAGATTTGCCATTCTCACGTCGGGGCTTTACAAGAGAATTATCTATTCCGGGATCCAGATAGGAATCTCGATGCTGCTCCCTTCATATCTTATAAGAAAGATCCACGAGATGGATACTGTCATTAATAAGAATGGACCCATTCCGGCCCAGCTTAGGCGCATCGATCGAACCATCCAAGAGGCGGTACATGTCCTTCCGGGTGGCATGATATTCACGGAACTGCCAAATTTGCTGTATAGTATCGAACTAAGAATACCGTATTTCGAGAAACGTTTCCCTGGTATGCACCATCGACCGAGTCCAGAGCGATAGCCTTCTACTCTGATTTCCTTTTTGTCTAATTCCTTAACAATTTCTTCACCTGAGATTTATGGTGCCTGATTTCATTAGCCTCTGGGTCAGCTATAGGCCTACCCGGTTATGAGATGTCCCAGACCACGACGATCGCCTTGCTTGTACATGGGGAAGTACAGTCCTGCGGTATGGGTATCAGGTTCGAAGGAATGGTTAGACACTGGGCTTGCGCTCGCGCTATTTCCATTCAAATTTATGTGGGAGCTAATGTGTTCGTCGAATCCCGCGACGACGACGGGGAATATGGAATCAAAGAAATTCAAACGCGGACCCCGAATAGAGAAGTATAGTGCAGTACTGAAAACAGCATCTGTCCATCTGGAAGAGCCAGATATTTCTATTCCTCGGACCAAGTAGGACTTCCATGTTTGGGACAGTCCAAGTACGAGGCACCCTGCCAGACGACGGTTGACTGTGGTAAAAATAGGCCAAATCCGCCTCCCAAGGTTCACTGCAGCTCGATTGTACGCAAAGGCCATTTGAGGAAGACAAAAATCCAAACTCTTAAGAAAATGGTTTTTGTTTGAACTATGTACCAGCCTAAGGCCTACAGTGCTTTGCGCCTTGCCCTGCAGCTGGCAGGCCGGTAGTACGCCATGGATGCACCCCGCAAAAGTGCAAGCGACATTGGATTTGCTCTATGTCGCAACAATAACATCGAACAGCGCAGCTCAGAGCAGATCGGGTCGGTTTGGGTTAGATCGGGGTGGGTCGCTCAACTGCCTTCAAATCTACTTCTTCAGGGGTGAGGGATGAGAAAGGCAGTTGCTCCGGGTTTGAACGAGTCACGTTTTTTGGAGCTCGGCTATGGAAGGAAGGCCCAGTGAAGTTTGAACGAGTGCTGTTCCGAAGACTGCGAGCAGTCCAACCTTCTTCTTCATTCAGTCAGTACCGTGGAGCCCGTCTTAATACTTCTCATAATTGGACGATTCTCGGACTGGGAAAGGAACGAAGAAGCAAGTATGCAGAATAAATGTCTTGTGCAGCATGCCCTTCGCTCGCGAGAATCGATGGGGCGCCTCTGGAATGGACTTGTGTTCCTCCTCCTCCTCCTCCCCCTCCCCGTCTTAGTCGTCCCTCTTTAAGCCCGCCTCCGAAATCCGCTGTCCCCAAACTGCCATAGTTAATGTCCCGTTCTGCTTTCCACGACATGGTTCGCACTCCGAAGGGAAGTTCTTCTCTCCGTAGACTGTCTACCTCGTCGGCAGTGCGTGGAACGTCGTCGCTCATACGACGAGTCATAACACCACCACCACAACCATTGGTGGCGTTGTGGTGGTGGTGCGATTACGTGTACCACAGTAGAGGGCACGTGGTGAGGAAGACCTACTGTGGTTGGTAACGGTGTGGTTGACATGATGAATTTGCGACCTTTGGGTTTTAGGTGGGACCTCCGCTAGACGAAGAAGCTAAGGTGTAGTATGTTCGTATGGCCGACATTTGGCAGCTGGATAAGTACGAATCCCACGACTCTACTTTACACACACATTTGCTTTCTGCGAGACCTGAAATGTCCCTCTTCTCACATTCGACATCACACCTCGCCTGGCCCCAACTGCTGCAAGCGCTAGAAAAGTAGGTGTAACTTCTGCTCACTTCTTGCCCTGTGGAATCCGGACGAGCAGACCTGGTTCATCCAGGTCTCGATAAACCTCATTCCCGAAAAAGATACAAAGGTTCTTCTGCCTAACCATGACACGCAAATCAATCTCGGGTGCATTTCTCGACTTTGAAAGTCTTCCCAATTGGGTGGGAAAGGCTCCGTCCAGACATCTGTTGTTTAACTAAAAATTTCTACGGTCGACTATTTTATCTGAATCATACGCTGGGTAACGTAAACTTCACTTTCTTGGGCGTAAGCCCCACGCCACAAATGATGTATTTAGAGTACAATAATTGTTCACTTAGAAGACGGAAAAAGGTTTAGTATGTGCATGACTCGATACGAAATTAGAGCGTTGTGGAGTAATTAAGAACTCAATTGAGGACGCCTAAGTTTAGGTTCAGTTCAAAGCATGATGCTTTGAATTAACTCCGGTTGAAGATTCGGATCAGCTTAAATTATAGGTTGCCCTGATTGGCGCTTACTTCCAAAGTCTGATTTAGAAGGTACATTACGTGTATTTTATAAATAGTTTCTAATTTATAAATGGTTTCTAATGTGATTAAGATAATCTTCGTACGATGCTCACACTGTTCCAGAAAAGATGTCTCCATGCATCATTGCAGCTCCTACGAACGCTATCTCCACAGTGAATGACAATGGGGTGCACTCTCCAATATCAGCATCAACATTTGGTTCCTTCGACATGCATCGAACAAAAGATTATTATCCGACTATTACCAAACTGTCACTTTCATGTTCAATAACATCCCAAATTTAACAACTGGAAGTAACCACGGTTACAACAAATTGACTCTATACGTTCTTTTAGAATAAAGTCTATGTTGATGGGCTTGAGTACGCCCACAAACCGTCCGTCTTACTTCATTGGATATTCTTCATAAACACTTTTGGGATCAGACAGTAGATAATGCTTGAGTATCGCAACATATATGACACGTCAGGTAAACTTTGACGTGTCATATTTTGGTGCTTTTATTCACATTGAATTCACTAAAGCCTCTTTCATTTCTTCCCTTGGGTTTCGCATCTTTTCCCTGTTGTGCACCTCTGTGTACTCCTCCCCCTCACTTTATATTTTTGTTCCACTTTCTCGGATTTGCCGTTATAAATTAGAGTAAACGATGCAGTTCATCTCTTGTATCATATGAGACGACTACAAATATTAGCTACATCAAATGACCTTCATGATTCTGTCATATTATAAATTTTAGTTCTGTCAAAAAATTCTGAATTGCTAGATTTCTTAATACTAGAAAATTTCAGAAATGTTTCAATACTCTCCTTCTTCACTTCCTAAGTAGAAATTCTAGACCTATTCATTGAATATCCTACCAAAAACCTTCCCAAAAGTAAAACATTTTTTTATTTTCTCTTGAAACTGTTTAATGTTGTTGGATCAATCCCTTTCGTTCTAAATATTCAATAAAATGTCAAAATGACACAAAACCGATTATTATAACAGATGTGGCTTTTTAGATTAAAAAAAGCCCAAAAAAATAAATCAAACCTGATGAGAACACCGTAAAAGAGTTAATGATCTTAACATCGAGGTACTGAGGAGACATTGACGGACGGCTAAATCGAAAAAGACATCAAGAGGAATGTAGCTTTATGGAAGTGAGGCTCCACCAAAGTCAAGATAACAAGCAAGCTTCTTAATAAGCTTATCACCAACTTAAAACAATTCCTGCGCAATGAAAGCCAAACAGGATATACCAGATAAAGTCTCTTCGAGCGCTTTCTATCGATCTTTTAAATTTGTACAACAGTATAATCATTTGAAGGGTTGAATATGATGATCCAGGTTTAGTTATGAAAATTTATAATTTTCTATAGCATTTAAAACTATCTTGATAGTATGCCGATTAGACAACTTGGGATCTCCAGGCTACCAGTTTTTTATTCTCAAGCTTAGGTCTAGAAATTCAGTTGCCTCTGGTTTTACATTCTCATTGAATTAATCAATAAATTGCCACCATAAAGATCCCTATCGTGAATGAATAATTTAGGTTGTATCAAAGTGAGGACTAGTGTAAAAGCATTTTTTTTGCAGTACAGGATTAAAGGCAAGGAGAAGAACTTACATGCTCGTGATTTTGAGCTGATTTGTATCCAAAATATTCTTACATAGAGGTTTGAGACGTTTTCTTTTGCCACATACATATGTTAGTTTAGATGATATACAATGATACTTCATTGTGTGACATAAATAGTCCCAATTGTGAATACACGGACTATGTTTTAACAACCACGGTAAATTTGATGATGAGACATGGTCTATGTCTCATAGAGCTTGGGGTCAAGCTAAGCACCAAGTTACTTTATCCTATGAACATCCATAGTCATCTATTGTTGCAGTCGGATCTCGGCCGTGGACAATGCAAATCGAAACAAGTGAACAAGTAACTTGGCAGAGGCGATGTACAGGAGTGTAAGAGACTTTGGTTATGATATTAGTTGCATAATGGGGTTTGGGGTTGCTTTTGGTGCTAATCATATGGGCTGCCAAGGGAACGGATTATTCAGCATGTTCAGAGAATATTCAGCATTTCATGCCAATTTGATGAATATCATCTTCTTCTTCGTATATCATGGATCCAACTACAATGATGATAAGGATGAGATGCTACACTGTCCTGTCCGTCACCGTTGAGCCAAGAGATGAGAAGAATTCAAACATCTCACTCGTCCCCCTCGTAACTTCTTGGCACTCATGAACCCAACTTGAACTGGTCTGCACTTTCTTCTTGTAAAAAATTCACAATCTATCCATTCGGTATCCTCTTCAATGATCGATGTTACATCAAGTAAAAGAAATGTCGTATCTTGTGATGAAAATTTTGCTACTTTCTTCTTTATTCTTTACAGAAGTTCGAAAAATACTTCCCACCAGACATTGAGGCTGAAATAAGGGCAGTAATTAGAAAATTTCAACAAGGTAACAACGGGCAACAGAATTGAGTACATAATTACCTTAGATTCAAAATTTTAGCAACAAAAAATCCCATCGCATTTATAGATTCAAAAAATAACAACAAAGAAAAATAAACTTTTTCTTTAGTGATTTTATTTTCTCTTGCATTAGCTGCTTTCCTTAAATCGCCTCACATTCAAAGTCTCTAATTCAAAAACTGAATCCCAGAAGTTCCCAATGGAGAACTACTGCTTGAGCACTAGATCTCATCTCAGCCTTTTGTTCCGAAAGGTCAGCTCCAGTGGAATAAAGCTATGATACATACAATCGGCTTATCATACAATCGGCTCAAAATACATATATATGTATGTCTTTTGATATATACATACATATGATCAACTCAACCACACATAGAGTTATGTAAGTGGTGACACACCATTCAAGACTATTTTCACTAACTATCAATTATGTAATTCTATGAATTGAGTAAACGAATGCAAAATAACTTGTATGTGATTTAGTTTTCTAAATGGGTGGAAGTAATTTCCTGAATCTAAAATTCTGGTGTATGATTGGGTGTACATTAACCAAATTCTATTGGAAAACAGTACTGCAGCGAGAAGATCTATGATGACTATAAGTGCAGAACATATTAGTATCTGATTCCCGATTATCAAGCCGAATCTTCTTTTCTACAATGACAGTCACGTTATAACTCTCATTACACTGGCACGTCCACTAATTTTTTCAGGATTCTAAAATGCATTCGTATGACTTTTTTAATGGAATAGAAATCTTATGTCGATCAAACCTCCCATACCCATTTGATTAATTTTGATAATCTTTGTGTATCCAACGAATCTTGCGTACGTAATCCAGAAAGTGTATATCTACCGAGAATACGCCAAAAGTTCGGTAAAACACTAAGATTTAGGAAGTGTAAATAGTGCACGAAACACATACGGGAATGTTCATTTACCGATAACTTTATGGGTGCAGTTTATGGAACCATAAAATGTTCTCCAGTTACCCGTGGAACACTGTTGACGGGACTGCCTTCAAGGGTTAGCCGGTGCATTTGAAACGTCACTATTCTATAGGAATACTAAACTGGATGAATGTACTTTCTTCTTCTCAAAATCGATCGACGGCGAAGTTCATGTGAGGTGATGAAATTTCGTTTCGTACCATGGTTAAGAAACGTGGCATTTGTTCCCACTCTGTACACCAGCACTGTTGACAAGATGTAAACACCATCCATAGGCACCCATCAAAGACGATGACACAGACCTGCCGCGCTTCTTAGCACACTCGAACCTTGTGATCAGTGAACTACTTTCACTTCAATTCTCTCAAATGAAGGGATTGCTTGAATTGTACAAAATTCATGTGAAATTAAATTGCCAACTGATCGCAACGCAGGGGAGACCAAAAATTCATCAATGGCTTTCATCTACAAATATCATCAGACCGATCCACGGTCACCCACAAGGTCCGTAGCTCTTGTACTCTACAGACACTCTCTTTCTCTCTCTGTACCTTACAGACATAGCTCAGCAAACCATCGTTCCCTGGGATCCCCTGGCCGTGAAGTCTTCAGAGCTGTAGTAGACGCTCCTGAGCAAATATAATTATGAGATGTGGATTAAGTGCCACCCTCGAAACACTAAATGCATCTTTCAAATTCGGTCGCCGTCACATCTGACAGACACTCCTCCATCTGTACCTGTCTCTACGGTCCCGGGCACTTTCGCTCCCATTCATTCGCCCGGGGGTGCATACATACGCTAGTTAAGATCGGAACAACGACACTCGCTGACCGGCTGTTCCAGACCGAAGATGGACGACCATCCCTCCCGTCGGGAGGCGTCTGACAGGTCGGGGAGGCTGTCGGCGGCGGCGAATTGATGACCACCGGGAGTGATTTGCTTACCTCGTAAATTCCTACGCGGTTATAGTTGCTCCATCGTTGGCCTTCCTTCAGTCGAGGAGCGATGGCGCTCTAAAATTAGAGGTACCGGGTCCTGGGAAACTAGTCCTATTTAAAGTTCCACGCGTGCTCTTATTCCAGACTTTAGAGACCGTTACTTCGAACTTTAAGGTTCACTCCCTGAAGTCCTTTCGTTCTTGCTTCTCTCGTTCCGTGCTACTGCTTTCCGGACTTAGGGTTCGAACGAGGGAGGGAGGGAAGAGAGTCACCAAGTTGTCAATTGCTTCTTCTGGGAGTCATCACACCGGGATTCGAAACTCTCGTGTCGGGGAGCTTGCGGTCGAGGAACATGAAGGATTGCTGGGAGATTTGAAATCCTCGTGTTAGCGGCAAAAAATCATTGGAGGAATCATTAAATTGTGGATGGATATCCCGTGGTCTTGGCGAGGAAACTGATTTAAGTGCCGGTATGGAGTCTAATGGAATAACGTGTGGATTGAAGAGAATCGGAGTGGTGGTACTTGGGATGCAACGATATCATAGGCAGGTCATGAGGCGAGAAACTTCGATAGACAAGAGCAGGTTTGGAGAGTTGAATGATTTGTTCACGAGGAACCTGTTTATAAACAACCTCGTGCTCACTCCGGGGCACACCCGAGGGTCGAGAGTCATCATGTCTTCTTGTCCAGGAATGAGGGAATGAGGATGCGTACTAGAGTGCAGGGTCTCTACAATATATTATTCTCGTGGATAGTGGATCTATGAGGACCGACCCTCCTTTCTTTTAAAACGAATGAGCATATGTCATCAACCTTGGAACATCGTGATGGAAATAAACTTCCATTGAAAAGATGGAGGTTACGAACGGCTCGTCATCTTTGAGGCTTTGAGGCTTTGAGGCTTTGAGTCTCAATTATTGACTTTCCAATGTTCGACTTTTTAAGGTCAACGTCCGAAGAAACTGCCCATCATTTGGCATTTTTCCCCATCAATAATTTAGCTCATGAAATGTCGAAAAAGTTGCTGTTTCGTGTTGAATATCGAAAGAAGTGGAACAAGTTAGTCTTCAATATCTAGAAAAATTAGTCATGCTGATCGAAGCATATCAAATATCTAGCCTCAAAGCATATATTGGAAGCAAATCATTTCTAGTGTTATAAACGCTACACACTACATTCCTTGATACGCACTTCTCGTTGGTTGTATCTGGGACTTCATGATGCAATGTAACTCCCAAATTTATGAATCCAGTTACACAGTCCAGGCGCTTCATATTCTTTCAATCTCTCTCTCTCTCATATAATTTCAGATTTTTCAAGACCGGAAAAACCGTGGGTTGCGAATTTTATCTTACAATTTCATGCTCTGTGCTCATCAGGTCAAATAATGTATCAGCTACTACTGGATTTCTTCGGAGTGTTGTAGTTCATCTCGTTGAATAGATAGGGCTTGGCTACTAGTGGAAATACTAAACGATGATCGGATCAAAGACTTACTAATTTTGTTATGAGAATCTGAAAATGATACATCCTAGATACGAAGGTTCTCATTTACGTTTGTGGAATGAAAGATGAAATGACTTGTGTCACTCCTTTTGTTACTAGAGCACATTGGCACCCTTGTAATCCGAACTTGACCAAAGAACCTCGTCTGTTGACAGTAATCTTCTTGACTGACACGTGTTGTGGTATTCTTGAAATTTTTAACATTGAAAGGGAAGATTATCCTTCCAAAGAGGAGAACACAAAAAATATATTGCATTACGTCTTCGTAAGAGTGAATAACATGTGTACATTTATCTTTGCAATATACTTTTATCAGATAAATCACTGGAATTTGGAATTTTTCTCATCCTTCAGTAGAGATAATGGATATAATTAGGCATTAATATTATTGTTTAATTTTCATACCATTCATATATATATCATTCATATGGTACTTCCAGTTTCTGCAACAGTATAGAACATTCATAGAGAAGATTAAAGGTTGGAGGTATCATATCAATGATTTTTAATCATTGATTTGATACCTCCAACCGATTGTTGATATGAAATGCAAAATCAATTCACAATCATAATATTTACATTGAGAAATTTCATATATAATCTTCTTCAAAACTAGTAAAAAATCATTCTCAAATTAGTACAAATAGCCCACGTAAAATTCTTGTTGATTTCCTTAAACTCAAATCTTTTGAATTGAAAAAAAGAGAAAGTTGATGTTTCCGTGGTTATCATGTCATGTGAACAAACGCACACTTTCAACACGTTCAAGAATACCCTTCTTTTGAAAGATATAAAAACTTTTATAAACGAACACACATATTGCGTAATTATAACATTATTTATTTCGATACTCGATATCATTGATGTATTTGAACCAACTTTTTGGTGTTTATACATTCATAAAGTAGTTTCCTCAAAAGTATACCACTTTTGGATGAAACTCCAGCCAAGTGGATTCGTCATGGCGAGCTAAAATAAAAAGTAAAAATTGAAATAAATTGCCAAGCCACCATAGCTGTCCTGTTTGTACAACCAATGCTTGTTGGATGCGCCTGGAGTCGAACTGAAAATCATTCTATTCTTTTGACGATGCTGAACCTTCAGACGCATTCAAGGGACAAGAAGACGGAAGATCTTACCGCCATAGTTGGCCAACAGCAGAATCGTCAGTGCCCAGAGTAACTTTTCACCTATCGTCGCAGCCAACGGAGAAAATAATGCCTCTGTACTTGCAAGAAAGAATAATCTGAAGCTCTCCTGAATTAAATAAGGACATCCTTTCACTTACATTCGAGGGTGGCCGCTGAACGACCAAGTCGAGTCCGAGACACCGAGGGGCTCATAGAGACCTCGTATCGCCTTTTACTGCAACCTCCGATCTCCTCGTCTTCTCCGATCGAACTGGGAATCACTCAACGGATTTTTCACGCCCACTTATGGTACGATGATCTAGGCTACTCTCTGCCTGCACAGCATCAGATCATTGTCTCTTGCATGTGCCTCCACTAAAGATCGGAAAGCGGTGTTCAGAAGTTTTGTCTACAGTGAGACGAAGACTTAGATGGTCCATCTTTGAAAATATTTATTGCCTCTTTCGATCTTGGGTGCTTACAATTTTTACTTGAAAATTTTCAATTCCTATCAAGGAAACCGAGTAATATAGAAAAAGAAATGAAGACCTCTCAAGTCGTACGTAAAAGGTAGTGCAGCATCTCACTTGTATGCACGCACCATGACTTCAATACTGGAATGTTCTTAGAAACTTAAGGACCTACCAAACTTGCATGCAGCATTTTTTTTCACGAAGTTCTTTCTTCACCATGCTGCTGATCACACAAACTTGCATTCCCTTTATCTTTAATTTTGTACTATCAGAAGACTTCATTTATGGTTTCATACCTCTATTAGAACTTTTCTCCGACGTTTAATTTATTCTCTGCAAGAATTGGAGAGTGGGTTATTTCCCCTTTGATAAAATCCACTGGATTATTTCCTCTGTTTTATGACCATGTTCGGGTGGCGGTACTCATGATATGAACATCTTGTACTGGCTGCGAAGCGTAGTGGGAACGCAGTTAGCATGCTTGGAGTCAGCTTGAAATCTGCATTGCATGTGTATGAAGAAAAAAAAGGATTGAGAAGAAAAGTCTGTTTGTTTTTCAGGACTGATCTGTGATGATAAGTTTGCAGAAAATGGTTTGAGCTGTCAAAAGACCTGCGAACGCCAACAATTCGATTTCCATTACAGTTCTTATACAGTATACGATTTTCAACATACAGTACCCCATGCCATACCATGACCGATAAAGAAACAGCGACTCCTCAAAACCGAAGACTGTCAGCACTAAAGAGGGGAATCGGGTACAAGCAAAAACCCGACTCCTGATTTGTCTTTTCCAGTATCGAGGAGGAAATACAGCCGTAGACAGCTGTGTAGCGAAAGAACAAATACTCGAGTATTACGCCCACAGTATTTCACAGTTTGTCAATGTACGGTATGAGAATCCGGATCTAAAGCTGCCTAAAGCTGAATGTGCCGCAGTTGTACATGATGGCCCGTATGCTCTGGTTCTCATACATACACTTCTGCAACCGCACACGCATCAGCAGCAGCAGCAGCAGTTCAGCCTAGTCACCCAGGCCAAAGCAAGTCGAATGAGCATTGCAGCAAGCACCAGCAAGTCTGCATACAGGGAGCTCGCCAGGGCCGACAAAGAAAAAACAAGGACGCCTGCCCTCAAGGGCCCACGTGCAATAAGGGCCGCACTTGGCGCTGTAAGTCCTCCCTCCCCCCTCTCTCCTCCTCCCTGATCAGAGTACTGGGGATTGGCTTTGGCTGTGGCATAGGCTTCGTTGTGTTGTTGCTACTGCTGCTGCTGGTCGGACAGTGAAAGGGTGAAGGGACTCAATATGTTGGGTTGGGTTCAGCTGAGGTGAGCTGGGCGGGTCTGGGCTGGGCTGGGCTGGGTTGAGGGGAGAGAGCTTTGGCTGAGCTTCTCGTACGTGTTGTCGTTGAAGAGAGTGAATGTGTGTCGTCAGGGGGAAAGTCATCTATCGCTGCGAGTATTTTCGCTGTTCACTCGAGTGGGCGAGGAGTGTGGGCCCGAGCGGAGGACTTATTTAAATGAGTAAATATTTGCGTACTGTGACGCTGTGATTAACGTCCGCTATCAAGCTCTGGTTGTCTCTGTCTCCTGGCTCCGGATGGCTGGGGGGGGGGGGGGGGATCATTGAATATATTTTCCCCTACGGCAGCCTGGCTTCCTCTTTTCATGCACTTGCTTTCTGTTTTTAGAAGATTGGATGATTAGGATTTCCACCTTGTGCGCCACCCTCTGCTCGCTCGCCCCTCTTTCTTTCTCTCTCTCACTCCTCGCTTTGCTTGTGACACTGATTAGAACGCGAGAGTCGGCTGCAAGGGTTCGAGTAATGCTGCTGGCAGCTGGGCTCAGCTTCCCGTGCCTCTTAATGCAAGCCCGGGCCTCCAGCACAGCAGCAGTAGCTTTGTAGTTCCTACGTCTTCTAGTCCGACGCCTCTCCTTCTCTTTCGCCTTTCTCTCTTCTCTCTTCTTCACTAGCCAGCCCCCGCTCCGTGAGAGCTGTAACACTCTTGCTAGATTTCCGACCCTGCAGGCCCCGCAGTGCGCTTCTGCTGTGTTCTGTTCAGAATCCGTCTGGAGTCGAAACTTTCATATTCCTCGGGAGAATCACCTTCGGCGTGAACTTGATAGGTTTCAGTCGAGGCGTGAACAGAAGCTGCTGCCCAAGGATTGTACTGTGGACTGAGATCTGGTCTGGGACCGGTGCTCCCGTGCGCTCCATGTGGCCCTCAAGTTTCAGTCTGATCGATTTGTAAGGATTCAGGAGTCGGGCTGACTTTCTCAACTTGAGAAATGCGGAAGACCGTGACATCCTTCCGGAACTGCTTCTGGTGATGATGTCGATGTCCATGCCATTATGTTCGCCGAGGATGCTGCTCTCACTCCGATTTGACGATCACGTTGGGCTGGCTCATGGAACTGTTGGGGATTGCACCAGTTTCGCCTGCCTGCTTGCCCCTTTATTGGAGGCCGAGAAGAGATAAAGCGCCGCCAAGTTTCGCTCTTCATTTCCCGGACAGACCGACTGACTCACTGACTGGCTGACTTCCGAGCAATTGATTGAGCTGGGCGACGGGGATGGCGTCCCTCGGTGTTCAATTGACGAGAAGACATCAGCAGCAGCCTGCAAACAATTTGCTCGGAGTTTCGTCCCGAACGTGAGCGTTTTGACTTCGGTTCGGTGGGAGACGCAGAGCATCTCTGGACAGAAAGGCGGACCGCTCAACTGCCTTGGGGTTTTTGTTTTTTAATCTCGTCGGGTGGCGTCCTTAGTACCCGACTCATGAATCAGGTCGACGACTGCTTGCACAGCTGACAGAGATTAGTCCCTAAGCCTGCGCAAGGTCTGTAGGACTAGCAGCAACAAATACGGGTCATCGCCGCCGCAAGGTAGAAGCGTAGCAGTGCGAGGATTCGTAGGGAGATTACCATGCCGAGTTCATGGACTTCATGGAAGAGAGCGCTGAGTTGCAAGACAGACCGAGACCAAGTCATTGAGCCTCACTCGATGATTCCGCCTTCTAGCAAGAGCTCAGTGGGGATGAAATCGAAAAAACACTACAGCGCAAGGAGCTGCTCGAGGTCTCTGCTAAGCCTCAGAGACGTCATACACGGGAACACTCGCGTGGTTCACAAACAATCGAGCCCCCGATCAGTGGCCACGAGTGACGATTGTCTGAGACAGGTGTCCCCAGATCTATCCTACTGCGACACCAGGAGCTCGAGCGGAGGAACCCCGTCCGAGGTGGGATCAGTGTTCGGGCGCAGCAATTCCAGGAGCGGCTCCCTGACCTCGACGCCGCTGTCTCACGCCAGCTATGTCTTCAAAGGAACCCCGCTCAGAAAGCTCTCGGGCTGCTATGATTGCAACATGGCCTACGAAACGCTGGATTCCATGCAGCTGGTGTATAGAGAAGGCTCGCTGCACGGTTCCTACTGTGGCTCGCCCAAGGCCGGGTGCCCGAAATGCGGAGAGACCTTCAGCAAAGCCGAGGCCTTGGAGGCACACCACATCTCTCAGCACGCAGGTGAGCATTTCGGCGGAATGTGCCATCTGTCTAGAAGCCACTGAACGCTAATTTGTGCCTCATAATTCCGTCATTCTCCTGCTTCTTTTATGAGGTCGAGGCAGCAAAACCTGTCACTTGGGTAATTCTGGAGCCTGCTAGCTGGGAATTCTATTTTTTCTTAAGTAACCCGGTTCCGTTTTGATATTTTTGTGTGAGAGTAGAACCCCGTTCGATGTGACTCCATAGTGTGCCCTGTTCTGGGTCTGGTCCATTCTGAAGCTTCAGTGTCGCACGAGTTTCGTAATTCTTCTCTATAGAACTGAGAAGCAGATTACGCACAATTTTGAGTCGCTATCTTGCACTTCCGTTCATGTTCCTTACAGTGTACACGTCTTCCTGAGTGTTGGCCTCCTCCGCACGGGACACGTCGTCTCTGCGAATTCCAACATGATAAGCTCATCCAAACCCTTCAGCGTCGCCTGTGGTAACGAGTCGTAGCGGCTCGTTCTACTGCGTGTCTCGGAATCAAAGGACTGACAAAAACTTCGAGAACCGCTTCCCCTTGAAGAGATGTCATGCAGTGCCGAGAGAGGCGGCATGGACACGAGAAGCGCGCGCCGTTCTCGGAATTCATTGTTGTCATATCTAGTCGAACATTCCTGGAACCATGGAAGCTTGTGATGGTCCTACGCGCTCGTTTAGATTACTTCAAGCAGTTGCATTGTCTCGAACAAAGTGTAGGGTCTGTTTCGGCTAGGAACGAGCAGCATTGCGAGCATTTGTTATTTCAAAGGGACGATTCCGACTAGAGAAATTCGCGTGCTGTTCTCGAATATTTGAGGTCTGCGTTGGATCAGGGGCTTCGTTGTCCGCGATGCAAGTGCTGCAACTTGACGCTTGGGAGGGAGAGTTATTATGTGCAAATGATTGACCTCGCAATGTGGTGTGTTTATTCTTTGTGATTCAGTGACTGAGCTCAACAAAGGCGACTCATCTCGGAACGTGGTGGAGATAATCTTTCGCACGAGTTGGCTGAAAAAGGAGCTGCCATGCGGGAAGATCGAGAGGATTCTCAAGGTGCACAACACGCAGAGAATCGTGGCGAAGTTCGAGGAGTATCGAGACGCTGTGAAGGCCAGAGCCGCGAAGATGACCAAAAAGCATCCGCGCTGCATGGCCGACGGAAATGAGCTGCTTCGATTCTACGGAACCTTCCTCCAATGTCAATTGGGAGCTCACGGAGCCTCGAATCTCTGCCTCATGCCCAACTGCCACTGCTGTCAGCTCATCAGATCAGGCTTCCACGCCAAGAAGGAGGCCGGGAGGGGCATCTACACCACCGCCACCAGCGGCAAGGCCCACGATTCCATTGCTCTTCCGGAGGACGATTTGAAGGGCAAACGAGCAATGCTCGTCTGCAGAGTCATCGCCGGCAGGACGCACAAGGCTCTCGACAACGAAGACCTGACATTTCTCCCCACCGGATACGACTCGATTGCCGGCGAGTCAGGCCCGTACGCCAACATCGACGAGCTTCTCGTGTTCAGCAGCAGAGCCGTGTTGCCCTGTTTTGTAGTTATTTACAAGCTTTGAAGAAAAGTCTTCCATCTCTCTCATAGGTGCTCTTTAATGTGGGATCGATGCCGACCGATCGTTCCCAGCACACACAAGATTAGATCGCAGTTTCTTTAGTCCTCCCACCGACATTAGTGACCTGCACAAATGGAATGAACGCCTAGGATAAGTGCACAGATTACTTGCCTTGCCATCCCCCTGCCCCGCCCCGGCCACCGACGGCTTCTCAGTACGATCTCTGTTCGAGCTCAGAAGATTCACTGGCTGTGGATATTTCGTATCTTCTGAAGTCTGATTGAAGTCTTGCGCAATTTGTAGTTCAGGAGAAATCGCCAGGCCTACTAGCTGCACGAGTCGGAATTTTGATCGCTAGTGCAGTAGCTCTGCAATCCATGATTACTGCCGCTGGTCTTCGAATTCTGCGGATTTCAGAACACGCCGAGTCGAAGATACAGCACTTGTAACGTTAATAGATTCATCAGGCAGGTTTGCCTCGCCGCTGACCTGGAATACTTGTTTTATAAAGCCTGTATCATGTTCTAGCTGACATCGCACTCTTCCTTCTCTCGAGATGTCGGATTTTGGTTATGACTCTGAAGCTCCACTCTTGGAGCCGAGTTGAAGTTTTCATGGCGCCTATTATTTGATTGACGATGCGAAAGTGGAAATACAGCGGTTCTGTGTGATCAAAATCTTACACATGCTTCGGTTTCGAGAATGTTTAGAGACAAGTGTAGTGTAGTGGAGTAGACCAACGACCTTCCACATGCTCCTAAGCCGTTCAATATTCTCTGTGACATGTTCATTTCTACTTCATATTGGAGTTGCGATTTCACGTGGAATATTCGTCTACACACCGTCCATCCCCTTTTCCCTGTGGTCGGTTCTCATGTGTCAGTAATGATGAGCTGAAAGAAGGATGCGCCGTTGTCTTCGCGGGTAAGGAAAGCCGCGGCTCTTCCCTAAAGGCCGAGTATTTACACGCCTGAGAAGCACCATCTCCGTTGGTAAGGTTCCATCTGCCAAGGCCAATGTGGTCTCGGGGCAGAGATCTGATAGATATGAGCCTTTGGTGCTATAGCTCTGTCATGACACCTAATATTTATTTGAAAGGAATTAATTCTTTCTCGAATTGCAAGGGTGGAGTCTTATCTGTTTATTGCTTTCCGTCCAAATTCCTTTCCCTACGTCCATTCCGTGAACAGACGAACATGGAACGGACGAAGACTACAAATGGCAGAGTCTGGCAGGTCATGGTGAAACCAGTTCTGAACTGGGGCAGCATGAGGCTTTCAAATATCTGCACTCGGTTTCGGACAGCGGGCCGTACGAGGGTGGGTGGGTGCTGACTGAATGAAGACTTGTTGACATATTAAACGAGGCGAAGTCTGTCACAATTAGGACACTTCGCACCTCGTTCTCGTGACGAAGGAATATCTACAGATGAAATTCACTCTCCTGAAATCCACATCACTGCGGAACATTAACGACGACGACGACGACGACATCTCCGGTACATCTCTTTTCTCTCTCTCTCTTACATCTCCCCCCTGCAGCCATGTACCATTCCAGTGAACGGGAACCGTATAGCCTGACACCCGGACATCGAAATCATATGATAAACGGCAACAGCAGCAATGACATCTCCTATGCTATACGGTCGCTTGCTCGCTCCTGATCCGCCAGAATGTGTGAAAAGTGTACAACCCCTTGCTTCCACCCACCCACCCGATGCGAAATTCCGAAACCGCGTTCCTAGGTCGATGCAAGTGACGAAATCGATGCTTCCCTCCCTGCACCAAAAATCCGAATTCCAACACACCGACAGAACAAAACAGAAAACTATACGCCACATGTACAACCAGCCCAACCGAAGTCTTCCCCGCCCGGACATCAAAAGTAAATCCATGCCTCTTGCTGCTACGAGCTGCTGGCTGGTCCATCTCTCTTCCTCTCCTGAGCTCCTACTTTGAACTCGTCTCGAGCCTGCCTGACGTACGATTCAGCTAACGGAGTGATGCACGCGTCATTAATGTTCTGTACGAGAATATGCAGTAACGGCCTGCTGAGCCCTCCGCTGGAAGATTGACGTACGGACGGACGCTCGTAGGCAGCAAGGGAGGCCGGAACTGCAGAGGTCCACTACTACAAAAGCTGAGGCAGATTCAGTAGAGCACTGTAGAATCTGCAGTCTGAGCTCGTCAGGTCTAGGGACAGTCCACAACGTAGGTCTACACTGGATATAGCAAAAGCTGAAGCTGCTGCAAAAGTAGCGACATCCAGAAAAAATCTCTGAATTCCTCGCCTCTCGCCAGATTAGCACCCAAAGTCCAGTGAATTTCAATTCCCTCCCTCCCAATCTAGAGCGAACGGACAGCAACAGGTGGCACATCAACTACTCCAGAATTCCATAAGCGACCAGCTGAAGTACGTGAAAACCTTCCGGAATTCAGTAGTGCTTTTCTTCCGCGAGGTTCCTGGTTCAATGGGCGTTTGGAGAAAGCGGGAAGGTCTTATCTTCCGATGCGGTAGCCATTGTTGCGGGGGACAAGCTGAACCTCTGTCCCCAGAGGTCAAGGAAAAGTGTCTGTGACGGGACATCGCACCGCACCGCACCCCACCTGTCGCTTCAGTGGAAATGAGAGAGCAGGTGATCGCTAGGCACTCTCCCATGCCGAGTCCGATTCAACGGTGCAGGAGGCCTTGACTTTCTAAGCTCCTCGAAAAATGCATGACACCTCGAGGAGGAGAAGGTGGAGTTTGAAATAAAGGCAGCGAGCGGCTCAGATCACCAAACATCATCTGCTTGCTACAGTGAGGGTTACGAGATTATAAGGTCGGGTTTGGCTGATGAGAACGAAACAGATGCTGGACTCTCTGGACGAGGCTTGAATGGTGGATACACACTTTGACTGGGGGCAGAGCTCGTATACATGAAGAGCAGCTCAGAAGGCCAGAGGAGAGCAGAGCAGCAGTGTGGAGTGTAGTGTAGTGTACTCGGAGAATGTATGAACCTGCCCGAGATTCATTAAATAAAATCGAATGATGAAATCTACTTGTTCTCGCAGGTGATGGACGACGCATCATTGCAAAAAGCAAGAACAATTCAATGCTCGAACCTGTCTGAAATCTCAAGCTTCATTGAGGCTACGCTTGGCAGCCTTAGCTCCAGAACCTATCGTTCGAGCTTTAATGTCCCACTCGAGTGAAGATGCAAATCGCACTCCCAAGGTCACGAACATGATCCCGTCGACGACTCAGCAAGTACTTTATTTTAAATATTCGATCTCTCGTCTCCGGCCTTTGCTTCCTTCCGAGTTCAAATCTCCCCTTAATTCCCCTCGGCCCTCTGGCCCCTTCCCTTCGAGTCCAGAGTCCAAGGTCCGCTCCACTGTGGCACCACCCCGACGTTTCCGGCCTGACGTGACGAGCAGGTCAGGGCAGGTCAGACCGGTGACAGTCGGTCAGGACACAGAGCGAGGGACCGAGGCTTCGAGGGAGCGACGGGCAGCGGAAGGCAGCGTGGGAGTCGCCCAAAAGGGTTGGTCTTACAGGCAAGGATCCGCCAGTTGTCGAGCTACAGGACAGACGCCTTTTCAGCCGGTCTCGTCCGGCATTAAGTGGTTATGGCTTTGCAGAAGATGGTAAAATGTGCCGGTATCGAAACCGGCAGTTTTTACCACCATCCGGTCCGTGTTGGCGTCGCCGGTACCGGGAACGGGGACTGGGGCCGGCGGCCGGCGGCGCCCGACTGGCCCTTGGGCTGGCCAAGCCACGGGGGTCCGGGCAGGGCAGGGGAGGTCGTGAGGCGCGCTAGAGGCGGGAATGTGCGATGTCGGCGCGTCCGGTGGGGGCCGCGAGGGCACGCCATTCCATTGGTTGGCGATCTTGTCCGTCGTGTCGAAGGCAGAGGGCCGAGTGTTTGTCTCGGAGTCGCGTGCGCTGGGGACCAGAGCCTGCGCCGGGGGGTTCAACCGGGCGTTTCAATGCGACCCTTGGACTATTGCTCTGTTCTCATGATCACTAATCCATTGCTCTCGTCCTCTTGCTCTTGATGAGATTTTTCTTCGAAGAATTTCAAATGGTTCGCACTTTAAGACTTTCCTCTGGCCACCATGGCCCAGATTCATATCATATTAGCCTCTCCGTTTACATTCACCTCTGCGCCTTTTGGAAGCACTCGCAATCGCCATGGCCATGATTGTCAATTGCTACAGGAACTTGCCTCTTGATCAGCACATTCAGAGACGACATGGAACACCATCTCAGATTAGAAAGTTCAATACTTCTGCTTATGTTGAAAACGGTGAAATAATGTCCTAGTCTTGTGTGATTGGGTTGACAAACTGCTGATTCGTTCTCGGAAGGTCAGTTCATGTTTGAAGATTCAATGAACTGCTTTTGGAAGGCTGTGAAATAATGTCATACGCTTCCTCTTGAGTCTTCTCTCTCTTTCTCTCTCTTCCTCTTACGCGTTGGGCCGCTCAACGACTTTCCAGAATATACGAGTGCGGTCTTGCAAATTCAGCACTAGTGCTTAATGGTGCTCCACACTTCATGAATACGACCTTTGCATTTGAAATTTCTGCAATCGAAATCGAAAGGTCGAGTGTAAAGGCAAACGAATAAAATGCGGTTCTCTCTTGCGAGTCTTAAAATGCAACTTGCTGATCGATAGACGATTTAAATCATGGACTTTTTTCACGGTGATGCATGCACAAAGAGATTAGATTAGGCCTTTTTTCTCCCGTGATTTGGTGTTAACAGGTTTTTTGACATCGTCATTGACCGAGTCGTTTCCTTTAGGTCCCAATAGAGCGAGGAGAAAGTTGAGTCTCATCTACATGAATCGAGTGACTCTCGAGTGAGATTCGTGTATAGGTCTCTTAGAGCAATTATTCAGATCTCCTATTTTGAGAGCTTGTGTAGGGCTTGGTTTCTTTTGGAGATCGTTCCTCATCTCTAGCTTCCGCAAGATTGTCTGATATCGACAAACAACTTCATCCTATGAAAGTCGAATTTAAGCACGGTTTCATGACTTTATCTCACCCTACCAAAAGTCACCTAAGTTCTGCTCACAACTTTTCTGCTTTCCTAAGTTTTAATATTTCTTAAAATTTATATTACAAATGATGTCTGTTGTTGATTAGAGGATTGTTGAAATTTTTGGTGACATGATCGAACCAGAGGCTTTTGAGACCTGACAAGATATTTGGCCCATAACTAGCACCTTTGCGATTTGTGTGGAAAACTAAATGTAGTATCGAGACTATAGGATTTTTTTGTTTGATTTCTCATTGCAGATAAATTCATCTTTGATATGTATGCAAGGATACGTGATTATTTACTGTACATGTACGATTAAAAAAATTGTAAAATACTTTAACCCTTAAGATCCAATATGAACTCCTGTTTTTATTCTATTCTCCTGTCGATTGGACTAAAGTCTACAATATATCTGGATGGAACTATTGATGTACATTACCAATGCTTTTAACATACTACAAATGAATTTTTAATATATATACATCCATTTCTTTCCGTAT